TGTGCTATAAAACCTGGGCAAATACTCCCATGTGAGATACCACTTAGATAGCACCGTATCTGATCTATATTGTAGGTACTCAGTTCATTCTCTTCTTACGAAATCAAAAGTCAGTGATAGATGGGAATTCCCTGGTGGCCCAGTAGTTAAGACTTGGTGCTTTCACTGCCAGGGGTTTGATCCCTGGTCAGGGAAGTAAGATCCTGCAAGCTATGTGGCTCAGCCAGATTTTTTTTTTCAATAGTCAGTGATGTTTTATGTTGCTATGTCTGTCTTTTTATAGATATGTATGTCTTAGTATGTGTGGACTGCTGTTATAAAACAGACAGAGACAGGTGGCTTAAGCAATAAACATTTATTTCTTACAGTTCTGGAAGCTAGGATGTCCAAGGTCAAGGTGCCAGCAGACGTCATGCTTAGTGTTGGGTGAGGACCCGTTTTTTGTGTCCTCACATAGCAGAAGAGGCAAGAGAGCTTTCTAGAGTCACTTTGTAATTTTTTATTTTATTTTAGTTGCAAGACACATGGGATCTTAGCTCCCCAACCAGGGATGCTACACATGCCCACTGCACTGGAAGTGCGGGAAGTCACTTTTTAAAGGGTATTAATCCAATTCATGTGGAGAAGGCAATGGCAACCCACTCCAGTACTCTTGCCTGGCAAGTCCCATGGATGGAGGAGCAGGGTAGGCTGCAGTCCATGGGGTCGCTGGGAGTCGAACACAACTGAGCAATTTCATTTTCACTTTTCACTTTCATGCATTGGAGAAGGAAATGGCAACCCACTCCAGTGTTCTTGCCTGGAGAATCCCAGGGATGGCAGAGCCTGGTGGGCTGCTGTCTAGGGGTCACACAGAGTCGGACACGACTGAAGTGACTTGGCAGCGGCAGCAGCAATCCAATTCATGAGGGCTCCACTTCATGACCTAATTACCTTCCAAGGGCTTCCCCTTCCAATACCATCGCATGGCGGTTAGGATTTCAGCATGTGAATTTTGAGAGGACACAAACACTTATTCGGTTGCATGTATATGTGTGGTTGGTGTATAATTCAACCTATTTCTATAGATCTGTCTAAACATATTCATCAGCAGATAATATTTGGAATGTGCACATCTATAACCACTGATACTATGATTTGTACTAATTTGGGGATATGTTTTACATCTGTCCGTTTTAGACTAATAGCTCTTGATAGCAGGGTATTTATTCTCTGCAATAATACTCACTTTATAATGATTTGATATATAATAGGATGATTGGATGAATATAGACAATGAGGGTATTTAGTGAACAAATCCACATTTGTAGTTTTGTAGTCCAATATGAGTTACAAATACTATTTTCTGTAGCACAAGGCTTTATTTCTTGTTTAAAAGTTAGGTTCAAGGACCAGCTTCACCCACTTGTATTTTTGCTAACAAATACAAATATTTTACTGACCTTCAGGGGAGAAATGCAGGATTGAATTGAAAAAAACAATAGTTAAAAAAAAAATCTTTTACTTAACAAACTAGGCTTAAGGAAAATCAATAAAATAATAAAATGAAGTGTAGCAAGTTTATCTGCCAAAACTAAAGGTTTTATAGGCAGAAACAAGATTATGTTATGAGATCAAATCCAAAGAAATAAAATCTTAAAAACATTTTTTGAACGAACATTTCCTGTAAGAGAACTACCTTTCCATGGGCTGTAAAAAATTAACAAGAGAAGATGCTGCTGTCTTTGAAATCCCTCTCAAAGAACTGCAGTTATAGGATATTATGGTAGTGGCTGATTTTGTGAGTGTTTGTTTATATGTATGTGAAAAATATAGAGTTTGGAAAAAGACTTTAGGGTATTTGTAATCAGCAGATGCTCTGGGACTGAGGAAGAGGAATCACATTGGCTTAACTGTGCTTATAGGATGATACCCAACACCAACAAATGAAAACTATTTTTGCATGTCTCTATTAAGGCATGGGCTTCCCTGGTGGCTCAAATGGTAAAGAACCCCCTTGTAATGTGGGATACCTGGGCTTGAGACCTGGGTTTGATCCCTGAGTTGGGAAGATCCCCTGAAGGAGGGCATAGCAACCCACTCGTTTTCTTGCCTGGTGAATCCCTATGGACAGAGGAGCCTGGCAGGCTACAGTCCATGGGGTCATAAAGAGTCAGACATGGCTGAGCAACTAAGCACAGCACAGCACATTAAGGCATACCTCTGTGCTAGATGCTAAGGTTGATGAAAAACAAAAACCCCCAAATTAATCAACAAAAACACAAAGCCTTGTCTTCAAAGAATACATGGCCTACTTGAGTAGGTCACACAGGTAGGCATGGAAAAAGGGTTATCAACACGAGATATTAAGTGATAGGAGCCCAATGAGTAGTGTAGGGGCAAAAGTCAAAGGCAGAATTGAATGATAGAGGAAGGAAATGGAGGCTGGAGGATTGTGACAGATGGGGAAGCAGTCAAGGACATTCCAGGAAGTAGCTTAGGGCAAGGAATAGAGGTAAGTAAGCCTAAGAGGATCCACTGCCTTCAGCAAGATTTGTGTGATTGGATCAGAAGGTTCTTACAGGAAGAGCGCAGAAATAAGCCTAGAGCCTCATGTCAGATTGTGGAGGCTGCCAGTGCCAGGTGAAGGAGTCTGAATCTTCCTGTAGACAGTGAAGACTCAGTGAAAGCTTTTGAGGAAGAGCTCACCAGATGATAGTGGAACTTTAGAAAGATCATTCCAGTGATGGTGCAGTGCAGAAACTGGTGTGGGAGAACCTGATGGCAGGATACCTGGAGAAAAGATTTCAAAGGAAGAGTCAGTAGATCGTAGGTGATGGTAAACAAGGAGATATCAGAATGATCTTCAGATCTTGAATTTGGGTCTTCAGTAACAGAGTATAAAATCACACAATTTCCTATGGAAATATAGCTTTGGAAGGTGGACAGTTATTCTAGACAAGATATGATAGGGTTAGAGTGGAACAAGTCAAGTAAGAAGGCTGAGCACCGCACTGGAAATGTGAGTGTGGGTGTAGTAGGCTAAGGTAATGAGTGCAGATTTTGTCATTTATCTAAGTGGAAAGTATTCCTGAAGCCTCATTCTCTGGAGTTCTCTGCAAGGAAGACTGTAGAGAGAGATGAGCAGAAAGTTGAAGACTAATTCCAAAGCATTTCTGCCTTGCAAGTCAATGGAGAAAAAGACAGTCAAAGTAGGAGATGGAAAACTAATGGTCAGAGAGTTAAGAGAAGGACTGTGTCACAGAATCCTAGAGAAAGGTTCCATGTAAATTTTAATCAAGGTCAAGGAAAAGTGATGATAGAAACAAAGCTCTCTGAACTGGGTGCTTAGCATATCTTAAAGGTTTGTGTGGAGCAAGAGGACTTAGCAGTGAACCGTAGGGCCTCACAGAAGGATGATCTAGCTTTGTGTCACGCATTGCATGGCTACATGACTGAAAAGGTGCCTATCAAATCAAGATAGACTCAACTTGGTACATCAATTGCATATCAGAGTTTAAAGACTTAATACAGAAAGGAAATAATGTGAAAAATCTCATTGTTGTTATTGTTTAGTTGCTAAGCATGTCCAACTCTTTTGTGACCCCATGGACTGTAGCCCACCAAGCTCCTCTGTCCAAGAGATTTTCTCGGCAAGAATACTGGAGTCGGTTGCTATTTCTTCCTCCAGGGGATCTTCCAGACCCAGGGATCGAACCCAAGTCTCCTGTGTCTTTTGCATTGGAAGGCAGATTCTTTACCACTGAGCCACATGGGAAGCCCTCAAAAGATCTCATTAGTAACATTTAAATGTTGATAACACATTGAAATGGTAACATATTTGATATGTTGGCTAAATAAAATATGCTATTAAAATTAATTTTACCTTAAAAAATTTAAAATATGGTTACTATAAAATGTACTCATACTATATTTCCCTTGAGCATTGCTGATCTAGACCTTTGAAATGAAGCTTATTAATATAGCACTGTAAAACACATGCTCATATCCACTTGAACAGCTAAATGTGTGTTTACCCATCTACTCAATCCAAAATCTTTCAGAGTGTCTTTTGCATTTTGTGAATGTATTTCTGTATTTTGTGATCAGTGTATACTGTAGAAATCCATTTTGAAAACTTTTATTCAAAACAAGTTATCCCTTCATACTGAATATTTGACTTTTTTTTCCCAACCAATAGATGATGCTTCAACTGATAGTCGCAGAACCTACACTCTAGCTGATTATTTAAAAAACACTTTTAGAATGAAGTCCTACAACTTGAGATGGGTTTCAGGTAAGGCTTTTTGGTGGAGAGAGGGGCTGATTTTTATGCTTATTTTCTTTTTATGCTTAATTTCAGTTAGGTTTTGGGGCACCTTTATGGCAATGAGAATATATTCTTATTTTTTAAAACCATATGGGAAAGTATTGTTTTCTACTTACGGGTGCAAAAGGAGATAAGACAGAAAGAAACCTTAGTATTTCTTTGACATGTACTGTAAAAAATTAAAAGTGAATCGAACCCTTTATAATAATGATGGGAAAATGAAGGCATACTAGTGTAATATTCATCAGTTCATGTTTTTCCAACTTAGAACTTGTGTGAATTTAAATCTTACATTTTTATTGCATGAATTTTTAGTTTATGAAGATGTTTAATAGCAATTTGAAATATTGATCTGGTCGTTTTCTCTCTTTAGATCATGAATATCTCTACAAACAAGAAAATAATATCTTGCTATTCAATGCTGAATATGGAAACAGCTCCATTTTCTTGGAGAACAGTACATTTGTATGTTTAATCACATAATTAATTCATGCTTTAAGGGAATTCTGGGATTTTTTTCATAACCTTTCAAATCATGAGTACTATCGTTTCTCATCCTGTTGGACTCTTTCTGCAGCATATGGTGCGGTGGATCTTTCTCTTCTTGGAATGCTCCCTGCCTTGGTTACTTTTTAGTCTCCTTTGACGATTCCTCCTCCTCTGCCCATTCTCTTACGTGTAAGTGCTCCTCGGGGCCCTGTCTTCACTGCGAGCCTCCCTCCTCACCTTGCGTGCTCCCTTTCAGCATATTCCATGCATTTCCACAGCATCAGTGCTTCTCAGATACATGCTTGTAACACTAACCTCCTCCCAAGATCTAGACCTCTGTTTCCAATAGCTTGCTGGCTCCTGCACATGGATGGTCTGCAGGCATTTTAAACTCAGTATCCTGAGCTAAGCTAGTTATTCCCCCTTCCCTCTCCTAGCAAAGGGAAGGCATCCTATTCCTCTTCCCTGTCTTAGTAAATAGCTCCTCCTCCACGTCACTTAAGCTAGAAATCTCAGAATCTTCCTTGATTCCTCTGTTATCCCCCTTACTGAGCTACTCAATAAACCCTATCAGTTCTCTCTTGTGATGTCTAATATCTCTCAGGTTTCCATTTCCACTGTATAGCCCTGGTTGAAAGCCTTGATTAATTTCGTGACAGTGAGTACTATATTATAATGTGTATCCCTCTCTCCATTCTGTAAATCAGAACACAACATTGCCCAAGTCCAAGGCTAATGCAACCCCTCCTCTCTCATCTCATCTTAGCCACTGGGTTGCCAGAGCATCTTTGGACAAGGCACATAAGATTCTGTCACATCCATGTGCAAAAAGTAGTTCATAGCTCCATTTCTTATATCTAGACACTACCTATTTTTCTAATTGTATGTCCTCTCTTTGTCTGGATACCCTATACTGTATCCAGATTACGCTTAGGCAGTCTCTAAATATGCATGCCCTTTCCACATCTGGTTTTATACTCTTGCCATTTCCCCTCCTGAGAAAGTTCTCTATCTGTTCCTGATCCCCACCCTCATATCCATCTTTCCTTGCTTAAAATTAATCCTTCCCTCCCTGACTCTCTAACCTTGATCACCACCCACCTTGCCTCATGGTCATCTGTGTAGGGGAATGTGCCCCCTCTTCTAGACTGGAACCTCCCAAGGTACGAGACAGAAGTCTAGAACCATACCCAACAATAGTAGGCACTCAACAATAGCAGTTAAATGGAATCATTCAACTGTTTTTCTTTCTACTTGATTGACAGGATGAATTTGGACATTCTATAAATGATTATTCAGTTTCTCCAGATAGACAATATATTCTCTTCGAATACAACTATGTGAAGGTAAAAGAAATGCTTTTTTACTGTGACATTTAAAGAATCCTATGAGTGTGTTATTTTATAAGTGATCTCAGGTCTATGAATATTTAAGGTTATTACCTAAGTCAAGCATAGGCTCTAAAAACTCATTAATTCAGCATCAAAAGAAGAAATGGTCATCCTCCTTCATAAAAGATAAATCTAATGAGTGTTTTAAAATAAATTCATTTTAGAGTTTTCAAATACTAAAAAGCTTAAGTAATGTTATAGATGTAGACTAAAATTATAAGTTAATAAAATAGAACTTATAATTTAAGAGTAAGTTTACATGTCTGACTTGTAATATCTAGTAATAGATTGTTTTATTTCCTTTGTCTGACAAATAGTAAGACTCTCAATTATTTGCTTTAAAAACAATTAGATGTCTCATTCCAGAAGAGATTCTGTGAAGTGACTCAGACCACCTCTCAGCCCTCAGGTCCCACCATATACAAACCATTCCTAAGGGGCAGGCTCGGCAGCAGTCACCAGCGCCCTGTGGGGAACACTGAGCTTCCTGCAGTCGCCCAGCCCAACATCAGATTCCCACACCTTCAGGAGAGGTTTCAGCCTAATCACACCTCGTTTTCATGTTTAGTTGTTGTTGTTGCTCTGTCACTAAGTTATTGCTCAGATGGTAAAGAATCTGCCTGCAATGTAGGAGACCCAGGTTCAGAATCCCATGGACAGAGGGGCCTGGTGGGCTACAGTCCATGAGGTCACAAAGAGTCAGACAGGACTGAGCAGCTAACACTCTCATGTTTAGGGTGGTTGTCAATCACCAGTGACTGTAACTGCAGCTTCTGATTATTCATGGATTTGACAATGGCTGTTGAGTATGAGAAGTTTTGAAACATACAAGAAAGATTAGAAACCTCTAGAGATTCTGCTTGAAAACAAAACACAAAGCTGGAAATCCTGACCTCTGCCTTTCTTTTCTAGAATAAAGAGTAAACACTGAGTGGTCTTATCTCACACCATCATTGGTGTACTCAGGTCATGCAAACCATCCCATACTCCATTCCCATTTGAGGATGGTGACTCCCAATCATAGTATTTACCCTGGTTCATTGTGCTGGGCTCCATTTCCTGGACATGAAGACTCGCTGACTAGGTCCTGCTAAACCAGTCCACCAGGAACGAATCAGAAGTTGATGCCAACTTTAACACATCTGTTTCCAATTAATGAATTAGTATTTGTTTGATTCAGTGGTTCTTATTTCCATATACAGATTAAAATCACATTAGAAGCTTTTAAAAACTCCCAAGTGCCCAGGTCCAATCCCCAGGTCAATAAAGTGAAGTCTCTGGGGGAGAAGCTGGCATCAGTTTTTTTTTTTTTTTTAACATGCAGAGTATTTTAACGAGCAACCAGGGTTGAGATCCGCTGGTTAACAATTTCCCATGTTAAAGTCAAACATATAATGACTGTGACATTAAGATAGAAACAGCAAGGTAAATACCAGCTCGATTTATTCTTTTGCCAAGTTCAACAAGTGCCATGTGATATGTACTAACAGATATATTTCATGGTTAGACCTTGCTGGACAACCATCATTGGTAATTTGTATTTGTTACATCACTGAAGTTTTCATGTGCATTTAACTACTTTTGCTGTTTTCATTCTGTCCCCTTCATCCTGCCATCCGTGTTTCCCAAGAGTATCCATGCTCCTTTGAAAACCTAAGTTAGATTGTGTCGTGCCTATGCTTAAACTCTTGTGATCAGTAGCTTCTCATCACTTTCAAAATAAAACCCAAACTCTAACCAAGGCAAGCCTGAGAAGCCTGAGTGATTGGACCTCATTCTGCCCTTGTGAACTCACCACCCCCGCTCCCGACCCCCGCATTCACCACGCTTGGCCTGTGCTTACACTGGATCACCTGGGGAGGTTTTTTCAAAATGCAGATACCTACAGCCTACCCCACGTCATCTGACTCAGCATAGCCATGGGTAATTTTAAGGACTCCCAAGTGATACAGGCTTCCCTGATAGCTCAACTGGTAAAGAGCCCGCCTGCAATGCAGGAGACCCCGGTTTCATTCCTGGGTCGGGAAGATCTGATGGAGAAGGGATTGGCTACCCACTCCCGTATACAAGGGATCAGCTACCCACTCCAGTATTCAAGAAACATATCCAGAACAAAGAAAAGTCTAGTTTTATTCAATTTCTCAGGAAGTCTATTTCCAGTGTTCTTTAGACCCTGCTGTGTAGCTTCTCCATGACTGAGCCAGCACATTCAGAAAGATCAATTCTTACTTTTAAGTTGTGGCTATAAAAAGATAAGTGAGTGAGTGAGTGAGAATGTAAACAAATAAGTACCATGCAGCCCAGTACAGAAGTTCTCATAGCATCTCCCCTCTTTGCCTAATGCCGTACAGACAATAATAGTTGCATCATCTATGATGTGTTCACAGGTGCCCTGCTAAGTACTTCACATGCATTCTCATGTTCCCGAGATTGTTTCTGTCACTACCCTCATCTTCCTTAAGAGAAAACTGGAGCTTAAAAAGAAACCTGTCTGATATTACATGTTAGAGACTTGTCTTCATCCATTTGGGTCACTATAACACCACAGACTGGGTGACTTAATAACAGAAATTTGTTCCTCAGAGTTTTGGAGGCTGAGAAGTCCAGAATCACGGTGGCACCAGATTCGGTGTCTGGCAAGGTCCTGCTTCCTATGTCATAGTTGGCCATCTTCTCCAAGTGTCATCACATGGTGGAAGGGGCAAGGAAACTAATGTATGAGGAAACGAATCCCACTCATGAGGGCTTCCCCCCCTCACAAGCTAGTCACTCCAGAGTGGCCCCACCTCCAGAATACTATCATGTTAGGAGTTAAAGTTTCAACATATGAGTTGGGGAAAGGAGGAGATACAAAGACTCAGTCTTATAGGAACACTTGAGTACAGGTTAGAAGACTCCAAAGCTTGTATTCTTATACATGATCATTCCTATCTTTGTGCTTGAAACTCTCTCTGCCATGATGCTTTTTTTGCCCTTCTCTATGTGGCAGCCCTCTGAGACCAATAATCACCTTTTCTATAAGCCTCTCGGCCTCCTCAGTTCCTAATTTGATTCCTGCCTTTCCCCACCCATCTCCATTGCATGCTCTATGATTCTTTTCCAGTAGTTTATGTCTCCATATCCCCCATTCAACGATGAGCTCCTTAGAAAGAGGGAGCCTGTCTTATGCAGTAATGCCTAATCAAGAGGATAGGTGCCAATGTTTCTAGCCTAAATAGACTGATGAGTCTGTTTCAAAAGATGAAGTGAATATACAACCATCTTGGATTTCCCTTTACAGCCCCTGATAGATCTGTCATCCTGAAATGATCTCAAAACTTCTTAAATCTCTTAATATTTTTAGCCCGTACCACAACTTTTGGCTCTAACGAGCATTATACTCTGAGGTTTCCCAGAAACAAGCATGGAGTGTGTCAAAATAATCCAGGATTCAAAAAGAAATGTATGACTTGCAAAAAGAGGAGACTTAATAAATATTTGTTGACATGAAAGGATAGGAGGGTGATAAATGATGAGTGGGCAACATTATTCAAGATTAGGAGCCTGACTTGTGTCTCGGCTCTGCCAATACAGCTCGGCATCCTTGGGCTACCCACTTCATTATTTCAGCCTCATAGGTAACATTTAATTATTTTAGTTTGGTTTATTTCTTGAATATTCCTATGTGGCTTGTGCTAGGACAGATTCCAGGTGTTTAAAGCTGAATAAGACACAATTTCTTACCTCTGGGAATATGGTAGGAAAAACAGATATATAGGCAAGTAATTTTTTAAAAATATTTTTAATTTATATCTGCCTCCTCATATAAACATTAATTTTTCATAAATGCAAATATGTGATCATATTTTTTAAAAACTTCCAGTCTCACTGTTTTTCCATTTTTTTGCTTGGCCCTCTATTCCTCATGGGCTTCCCAGGCTCAGTGGTAAAGAATCAGCCTGCCATTGCAGGAGTCAGGGATTGATCCCTGGTTAGGGAAGATCCCCTGGAGAAGGAAATGGCAACCCACTCCAGTATTCTTGCCTGGAGAATCCCCATGGACAGAGGAGCCTCGCAGGCTACAGTCCATGGGATTGCAAAGAGTCAGCACGACTCAGTGACTAGACAACAACTCCTCCTCATCTCATTGCCTTTTTCCCAGGTATCCCATGTTGAGAATCTATTGTATATCCCTCTATATTTTATATTTGTTTATTCACTTAATTCTACGCAGATAGAGATTCTTTTCAGTTATTGCTTATTTTATAAAAATGGAATCCTATTTTCCGTACTGTTCTGTAAATTGCATTTCTCACTCAGAGATACCATGTGGATATTCTTCCAAGTCATCTGTTATGGCTCTAGTTCATTTATTTTTTGAATTAATAGACTTTTAGAGCAGCTTTAGGTTTACAGAAAATGAATGGAAAGTGCAGGGAGTTTCCATATACTTCATTACCACCCCTCCACCTCACTCCATCCCTATTATTTTTGCTATTATTAACATTTTGCATTAGTGTAGTAGTACATTTGTTACAATTGATAAGCCAGTACTGACACATTATTTTTAATTAGAGTCCATCATTTGTATTAGGGTTTACTCTGTGTTGTACATTTTATGAGTTTTGACAAAGGTATAATGTATAATGATTTTTATCTGTCATTACGTTAATAGTATCATACTATACTAATCCATAAATAACTACTGTACAAAGAAAACTCTCAGCTCAAATAATTTTACCAGCAAATTCCTTGTTATTTATCCAAATGAGCTAAAAACTTATACCTATGCAAAAAAACTTATACACAAAATTTTTATAGCAGATTTATTCATGCTTTGGCAAACATGAATACTAGTCTGTATGTATTAAAGTCCATAGTTTACATTAGGGTTTACTCTCTGTGTTGGACATGTTTTCATTTTTCCTAAAAATCTTCTGTGCTCTGCCAGTTTCTCCCTCCCTTCACGTGAACCTCTAGGAACCACTGATCTTTACTCTGTCATTTTGTCTTTTCCGGAATGTCACGTGGTTGAAACCATATACTAGGTAGCATTTTCAGATTAGCTTCTCTCACTTTGCAATATGCTTTTAAGTTTCCTCCATCTCTTTTAATGTCCTCTGGCTCATTCCTTTTTGTACTGAATAATATTCTATCTTCTGCATGGCTGGTTATGTCCAAGTTTTGGCAAACATGAGTAAAGTTGCTGTAAAAGTTTGTGTGTAGGTTTCAATGTAGGTATAAGTTTTCAACTCATTCAGATAAATAACAAGGAGTTTGCTGGCAAAATTATTTGAACTGGGAGTTTTCTTTGTACAGAGGTTATTTGTAGATTCAGATGTTTATTAGATGTAAAACTACTCAGATTCACAATTTCATCTTACTTTTGATAACTCATTTTTCAAGGAATTTGTCCTTTTATCCTACTTTTAAAATGTGTAGGTAGGAACTTCCCTACCGTGTATACAAGGAAAAAAATATCTTTTTTTTTCTTTTCTCTTAAGCAAAGAAAAATATCTTAAGATTTTTTTTAAAATTAGTTGTCTATATGTCTGTCTTCCCTACCATACTCCTAGAGGTAAACGTATAGTGGTTGGGACTTCACGTTCCAGTTTGGGGCAGTGAGGTGTTCAATCCCTAGCCAGGGAGCTAGGATTCCAACATGTGTCACAACCTAAAACCAACACATTAAAAATAGTGTTGCAACAAATTCAATAAAGACTTTTTTAAAATGGCATATCAAAAAGCTCTTTTAAAAAGTGTATGGCTAAAACACGTTTAACATAATCTGACTGTCTGTGGAGCCTGTTGTGGGTCTTCCCAGGTGGCACTAGTGGTAAAGAATCTGCCTGCCATTGCAGGAGACACAAATTCCATCCCCGGGTCAGGAAAATCCCCTGGAGAAGGAAATGGCAACCCACTCCAGTATTCTTGCCTGGAAAATCCCATGGACAGAGGAGCCTGGCAGGCTACAGTTCATGGGGTCACAAAGAGTTGGACATGACTGAGCAACTAACACTTTGCCTTTATTATTTCTTTTCTTCTAATTTCTTTGAATTTAGTTTTGTTTTCATTTTTTAGCTTCTTGAGATAGTTATTTAAAATATTGATGGTGTGTGTATGAAAGTGAAAGTTGCTTAATCCTGTCTGTCTCTTTGTGACCCCATGGACTATACAGTCCATGGAATTCTCCAGGCCAGAATACTATAGTGGGTTGCTTTTCCCTTCTCCAGTGTGTGTGTTATATATACACACACACACATGTGTGTTTGTGTGTGTGTGTGTGTTTCAATTTTAATACACATTGCCAAGTGGCCTTTATATTTTCATAATCAATGTAGGAGAGTAAACGCCTCTCCTCATCACTGCCACCAATAGAATTAGAGATCTTTAAGATATTTGCCACTAAAATGGCTGAAAAGTGAACATTTGCATTTTCAAAAACAGATGAACTTTGCATTACTGTGCTAAGTTCTGGGAATTATGTTTGCACAGAAAGTGGCATGCCAGCCCACTGTGGTCCTTTGCAGAAGCAAGGTCAGAGATAAATGATAAATGAAATCCAGAGGAGTTTGCACTAGATAATTTCTGAGATACTTTCTAATTCCAAAATTTTAAGACTCTACATAGGGAACTATAAGATATAAAATGTGAGAATTATACAATGTTATATGGCTTTATCTCTCACCTGGGCTTCTATAGCAAGTGGTCAAGCTATCAAGAATCACAGAAGCCTGAAATGTCTATTTTCTTTTGTAGCAATGGAGGCATTCCTACACAGCTTCCTATGACATTTATGACTTAAATAAAAGGTCAGTGACTTCCTCTCAAAATCAGTTATGCTTCTCTAGTGTAATAATCAAAAAGAAAAGAAATTCTACTGTGATTTATCCACTTGGAAATGTTTCTTTTTATATTTTTCCAGGCAGTTAATTACAGAAGAGAGAATCCCAAACAACACACAGTGGATCACATGGTCACCAGTGGGTCATAAATTGGTTAGTAAGTCTCTCTTCTTTACAGGAAAATAATGGCTCAAATTTTTCATTTGCAGAGGCTCCTAACCCTGATATAGAGCAGATTCTTAGGAAGGCTGTAGTCACTATCACATAGAGTATTATTGCCTAAAATAACATTTTATTAGTCTAACAGAGTAAATATTAATACAATTCCTGAAAATTTCTGAACTACTGTTAGGAAATTGTTTATTTACTCATTAAATGTTCATTAAACTCAAATTCTAACCTGTTGTATTTTGTTTTTTGTTCTGTTTTATTTTGTTAATTTTTTTTTAAGCTTTCCCACTTTCTGTTAGTTCTTTGACTTTTTCTATGTCACTATAGATACACCTTCATGTTCTATAGTCTTAGGAGAATGTCAGAAGTCCTGAAGAATCTAAACAGGAAGACAGACTGTTTATCTGTAGTTGACTCTGAGCTTGCAGCTGCCTTCTCTCTACTCAGTAATGCAAAGCACACATCATTCTATAGAATTGGACAGTCTTCTGGGATTTGCATACACTTTACTATTCAATAGTAGTAGTTGTGGGCTGCTTCTTTTTGGTAGATAAAGAGTGTTTAGGATTATTTGGGTATTATAGCATGTATACTTCTACATTTAAGAACGTAAATGACTCTTCCTCCTGCTCAAACTGAGTAATCTAAGGTAGTCATTCCGCTTGCATACCAATATTATTTGAGGATAAAATAGTAGATAAATTTTTTAAGCTCTAGGATAAAATATAACATGTTGTGTATCCATCTTTTTTTCCAATCTTTTTAGGCATACGTTTGGAACAATGATATTTATGTGAAAAATGAACCAAATTCTCCAAGTCAGAGGATCACACAAACTGGGAAAAAAGATGTAATCTATAATGGAATAACTGACTGGGTTTATGAAGGTAAAGACGTTAAAACTTTTTCAAATCAGAAAATCTGTTCATATTCAAAAACAGTTAAACTTGTCTTTGAAAGCAGGGAAATTCAATGGCATTCAAAATAAGTTGTATTTTTAAAAAGTCATCAAATATCCTTTAGCACTCATGCACCAGGTATCTATCTCACAGACTAAGAATTTCTTCACAGTGAATGTTACTGCTACATCCTCACTGTCGCTTCAATGCTCCCATTGACTTTGCTCTGCTGCTGTAATTGGCTTGTCTGTGTAGGTAGCTTTTCTGCTTTACTGGGACATAGAAGTCTCCAGATTAACATCAGATGTTTCTCAAACCAAGTCTACCTAACCCAGAAGTTACTAAGGAAAACTAAAAACTCCAACAACATTCCAAAAGATGACAAAACATTGTCTGGAGGTTATGGAGTCCAGGGAAAGAACGTGCCTCTTTTATAGAGGCTTTGGGTTCATTTGAACTTGGACGAATTATCATTTCCTGTTTTTAAAGAAGAAAAAAATAATTAGACTTAGGGGGAAAATGGATTCAAATAACAGAACTGAAAAAGTTAAAAAGAATGATTCTCTCTTTTAGGGTAAAGAGTTTTATAAAATATTAGGAAAACAGTATTTGTGTCTCTAGTTGCCAAGGTAAAAAGGCATTTTGAGGCTATTTCAAACCCTTTACAAAATTGTATGATGTTTATTAAAGACTCATCCTTTTTTTTTAACCTGTTATTTCTTCTCTACTTAAAAAAAGTTAGTTTTTCTTCATGGCTCAATTTTGGTTCTTACCAGTTCAGGTTGAGTTCAATCAAATGGATAACTTTGTAAGAACAACAGAAAACACTTTAAAAGAATAATAAATTCCCATGAACCAGAAACAAGTGTTAGATTAAAACTTATAATAAAATTTACTAACACTTGTCACTTAGATCTTAAAAAGCATCTTTAACACTCGTTGGACAGCACAGCACAACCTCAGGATCCCCAGCTTGAGCTGGATAAAGAAATTCTCTTCCCAAAGCTCTGACCCACCCTTCCTTGGAACAGCTGGGCATCTCTAAGATAAAAACATCCCAACACTAAGGTTCTTTCTAAGGTAGATAATAGCTAGAGGAAACTTGTTTTGCCTGTTGGTGACTAAGCCATTCACAAGCAGAAGAACGGCTTCACAGTTCCAATGTGGGCCTGTCTTTAAAAATGGGACTTTACTGGTAAGACCCAGAGGGATCAGGTGGAGAGGGAGGTGGGAGGAGGGATCAGGATGGGGAATACATGTAAATCCATGGCTGATTCATGTCAATGTATGGCAAAAACCACTACAATATTGTAAAGTAATTAGCCTCCAACTAATAAAAATAAATTTAAAAAAATGGGACTTTAGTCCCTACAGGGAAATTCCTACAGTTGGTTTTGTACATTTACGAATACTCTATACTTAGAAAGAGCATACCTGTTTCTCCATATATCAGATCACTCTTCTGTTGGAGCCACCCTCTCCATTGCAACCGTGAAGACTTGTTGGGATCAAAAAAGTGTATCTGAAGAATCCATAGGTTCATTAGTAAAAGAACAAACAAAGCTGCAAGATCTAAACAGGGCCATGTGTTGCCCTGGGGAGGGACACTCACAGAAGAGCCTATAATCCGGAACTTGGGCCCCCTCCCCACCCTGGGTCCCCAAATAGCATTCTCTCTCAATTTCTCTGTTTTTGCATTATTTCATGATTTTCTAGTTGATTATTATTTACTTTAGTCAATAAAAGGCTTCCCTGGTGGCTCAGATGATAAAGAATCTGCCTGCAATGCAGGAGACCTGGGTTCAATCCCTGGATTGGGAAGTTCCCCTGCAGAAGGGAATGGCTACCGACTCCAGTATTCTTGCCTGCACAATTACATGGACATAGGAGCCTCTTGGGCTATAGTACATGGGATCACAGAGTCAAAGACGACTGAGTAACTAACACTTCAACTTCAACTTTTAGTTAATAAATGTGTTCTTTCTTTCTTTTTTAATAGTCTATCTTCTAGGATGAAGTTAATTACATAACAGTCATTTTTGAGTATGAATATCATTTACCTGACCCAGAGATGAAAATGAAAATTTTGGTGAGAGCACAGATGAGAGGGGATAGGCAAGGAAATAATTTGGGAAGAAGAGCACTCCTTACCCCCTGAGGCAGTAGTGTTGACAAGGGGGTGTGTGATTCACGTGAGGTGCCAACCACCAACAAGTTGCTATGCCAGGTGCTGGGGAAACAGACACAAATGCTACTCAACTGCTGCTCCCAGAGAGAGACAAAGAACCCAGCAAGTAATTGTCATGGAGCAAATGAGATATCCAGTTAGAGGGAGGAAACTAGGTCCCAATGGTGCCTGAGGAAACTCAGAGTGGCAAGATGGGAGTTGCGGTGGGATGGGAGGTATCGCAGGATGGTGTGTTAGGGGGTGCTCACAACCAGCTCAGGTAGGGCTGGAAATCTTTTCTTCCCTTCATTGTTCTTCTTTCTCCCTACCCTTGATCCCTGTATTCTTAGAACTTTGAGTTTGATCAGAGTAGTTTTATAATAATGGTTTTGACACATCATTGTTATGGAAAAATGTGTTCGGTATTCCCCTAAGTCAGAAAGAGACAATAAATACCATATGATATCACTTACATGTGGAATCTAAATATGACTCAAATGAACTTATCTATGAAACAGAAACAGACTCACAGACATAGAGAATAGACTTGTGGTTGCCAAAGTTGGGGTGGGGGCGGGGAGGAATGGACTGGGAGTTTGGACTTAGCAGATACAAACTATTATATACAGAATGGATAAAGAACAAGATCTTACTGTATAGCATAGGAAATTATATTCAATATCCTGTGATAAACCACAATAGAAAAGAAAAATAAAGAATGAAAGAGAGAAAGGAGGAGTTCAGTATTCTAAACAATTACTAATTCAAAACATTTAACTCTACCTGCCACCTGTACTTAAAAGTGACTTTACAAACCACTGCCTTGCTGTCAATGTATTCATTTTATGTAATTCCATGTTGATCTGAGATTAGAACCAATGAGTAGAAGCCACAGGGAATGAGACATCGATTTGGTATATGAAGACGTTTTTAGTGGGAAAGCCCCTTAGTTTGGAGTCACAAGGCCTGTGTTCTTGTCTCTGGCAATTCACTCACTTTCTCTAAACCTCAGCTGTCCTCTCAGTAAAATAGTCTATGAATAGAGTCACCTAGGGTTCAATTAGATAAGTGTTTTGTAAATTCTAAATTGCTGCATAAGTGTGACTCAGTGATATAGGTATAAAGGAGTCAAAGGAGGAGCAAGCTGCCAGATCAAGCAGAAGGTTTTCTGTTACTAGACGTGCTGAAATCGGCAGGAATGAACAGTGGAACTTGAATTCCAAAGAGAAAAATCTGGATTCATTCTTGATTCTAGAAACTATGGGCCATGTGCTCCCAAGTAAATGACTTACACTCTTTAAGCCTACCTGCTTTGCTTTGCTCACCTGCACAATGAATTATTATGAGGATTAAGTGAAATAATAGATGTCAGATATCAGTGTCTGGTGCATGGACAGAAGACATCAAATGTCAGCTGCTCATCCTTATAATGATTATATTTTATCATTATTATTATTCCTGTAACTACTACTGTGATTATCACTGTTATTGAAAATAAGCATCTGGAAAATAAACTTTTGTCAGGAGGCTGTGAAAATCAGAAAAGTGGGATAAAATGATTTCCTAATTCTAAGATTCAAGTTTTTATGCTTTTGCTTTTACCTTTACACTCACAGCAGAATATGAAATGTGTAGATTAACTCTGCATAAAGGACTAGAAGGTTCCATCAAATCCACTTGAATCCTCTCTTCCCAGTTGACGCAAGAGGTTTTGGCATTTTAAGAGCCAGAGATTGGAAGTCCCATGAATTGACTCCATAATAAACACAGGAAAGAGCTACCTTTGCTAGAGATTGAGGATGAGTTGTTCAGGGAAGCAAAACTTTTCCTTTCATTTGCCTCTGTCTTTGACCTCTTCCCCCATCAGCTGATATACCAGTGCATGCGTGCTAAGTCACTTCAGTAGTGTCTAACTCTCTGCAACACGATGGAGTGCAGCCCGTCAGACTCCTCAGTCCATGGGATTCTCCAGGCAAGAATACTGGAGTGGGTTGCCATTTCCAACTCCAGGGGATCTTCCTGACCTAGAAATCAAACCCATGTCTCTTACACCAGAGGAAGGTGTTAATCTAAGAGAGTTCTCAGTTTCTAGACTAGGCAAAGGAGGAGCTCCTTGATAGGAGTCTCATGGAGCTTCCTGCCATTCTAAATCCATCCTTCCCACATCTTTCGTGCCAAGAGGAATAAACTCTGGGCACCATATTGGTTTGATAGCCTGGAGCCACACACCACCCACCGGTACCCTGCAGAATCAGTACAAACTGTTGACTGTTTGAAAATTAGAAAGGAGAATCAGCCCCTTATGTGAGATTTACTTTTAGTATGTTTTGTGGCATAAATTTAGAGGATTATAAGATAAAGAAAAAATGTAGAGTTTATATTAAATATTGTGTGCTAAAATATTCAAAAATGGTCCAGCAGGTTACTTATTTTTACAATCCAGCTCTATCCTTGAAGATTTTATTTTTATTCATTTGTATTACTCTGATTTTGGAAGCCCAGCAAATGCAAAGTGGTTCATTAGTTGAACTCTACTGTAATTACTAAAGCTAATGAGAACAATATTTTGAATGCCAAAGCCAATTTATCAGTTACTTCTTGTAACAGAACAATTTCTGCCTTTTTTTCAGAGGAAGTCTTCAGTACTTATTCGGCTCTGTGGTGGTCTCCAAACGGCACTTTTTTAGCATATGCCCAATTTAACGACACAGAAGTCCCACTGATTGAATACTCCTTCTACTCCGATGAGTCACTGCAATACCCAAAGACCGTGAAGATTCCATATCCAAAGGTCTGTGCTCTGTTCATATAGCGGTTCTGTGATTTGATGGGAAGAGAATGGTTTCATTTAATCTTTCCCTGCTAATGAAAATATTGTCAGTCTCTCTTCAACAGCTTGCTGTGATTACTCTTGCTGAAGTCAACAGCATCTGGCAATTTTAAAGTATTTTTATTATCCCAGGAAAGAGTGTGATTTAAGGTTTTGTAATTTCTCCAAAAACTTTGAGGAATGACAAGCCGAAAAAGATGGGGAAAATGCTTTTGAAAGAAGCAGAGGGAATGAAAATATTTGAATGGAGGAAAAGAGAGGCTGTAATTGAATCAGAAGCTCATCTCATTTGCAGAAGTTGGATTGTGCCCTAGATAAAGTTGAAAAGCATGCTTATATATCAGGTTGTATTACTAACTAACAGATACATGACTAGTTTTAGTAGTTCTGTGATAAATTTGGCACTGATGTAAATTTCACACGTCCCACATTTGGAATAATAGTGTCATGTCTTGGTTTTCAAGACTGTTTCTCTCTCCAGGATGCATGTTTATAAAAACTGAAGAGCTTTATTAAGCCAAGGAAGAGGGAGATTTAGTAAAGGACCAGGATTCTTCACTAGTGTCATAAAAATAGTGGCCACACTATTTTTTTATAGGAAAATCTAATAGTGAAGTGTTTTTGCTGTAAGCAATTTGGGGAAAGGGATTTTTATTTTTACCAACTCACTGTTCAATTTGCTTTATGAAGAGCTGCCATTTTAGGAAGACAGAGGAAGTTAAAATAAAAAAAAAAAATCAGAGACTAAATACAGAAATGTATTTTCAGTGGAATGTTATTTTTTGAAGAGTAAACTGGCAAAAAAAAAAAAACACCATAGAACCTTCTCACTAAAAATATCGCATTATTTCTAATTTGTCAATTGAAAAATCTGTGTGTATATATAAAATAATTTTATAGATTTCTGTCACAATATTGACTGTAAAGCTCCAAAGTAGTGAACCTGAATTTGCAGTGGAAATATTGGCTTCCTAATTAGCATTTTGGCTCTGGGCTCAGGTAAACTAATTTTACTAGTGTATTGTATCTTTGGCTGAACCCAGGTATTCTTCCTAGTGGTTAGCCATCAGTCTTCTTGTTTTCTGGAGTCAGGATATATTTACAGATTAAAATAATTGATTTTAACAAGTTTATCCTTTTTTGCTTGAAGTACATAAATTATGAACATTCATTACTTAAACGGGAGCCATTTATGTATTTCTGCCTGAATATGAGAAGGTTGCATGTCATGACTCTCCTTTAAGTTTATTTTATCTATATTAAATTGTTTAAGAGTGTCTGGTTATAATTTTATGGTCATAATTTAGCCATTTTTGTATAGTTTTAAACTTGTGCAATGCTATTATATATATATATATATATGTATTTTTTTAATTAATACCAGTTCCGTGATTGTTTTTTTCCTAGGCAGGAGCTGTGAATCCAACTGTAAAGTTCTTTGTTGTAGATATCAGCAGTCTCAGCCCGAACATTAGTGCAACTTCCAAACAAATTGTTCCTCCTGGTTCTGTGTTAATAGGGTAAGACTCTTGACCCAAATGTTCATGCTGTAAACAATTCCACAGTTCTCAGGGAGAACACTTTCAAAATGAATGACAGAATCAATGGCAGCATCTCATGGTGTCACTTGGCCTGGCCCAGCATTCATTCTTCCATTCAACTATTCTGTTGGGCTCTACCCCATAGGCCTACAAGGCCTGCATTGCCCACATTTAAGAACAAGGACAGAGCCCAGTGTCAGCAACAGAGACATCAGTGGTTTAATGGATGGGAGATCTACATGTCTGAAGCAAGGTCCTGGAGCAACATCTCAACATGTGCTCTGGTGACGTGACAGGACGTGGCAGCAGGCTTTGCTCCCAGAGAGGAAGGGGAGACTGCCAGTTATAGGAGGAATTGTGTCAGCTTGGCTTATTAGTTACCATGGAAACCAGCAGAGGGGCATGCCCCTCACTACCCCTTTGATAAGAACAATCACTAGCTGGGGCTTGGAGCAAGTAGGTAGGAATGTCAGTCAGGTGAGTAGGGTGTACGTGGAGCAGGCTCTGGTCCAGCAGGAGATGTACAGAGAGCAAGAGAACAGCCATCTTGGGTGGCCTGACCCTACACACTCTTCACTGAGTACAAACTTCATGTCTTCATGCCGGACAGGGCTCTAGGGGTGGGCTTGCAGAATGAATAGAGCAGTCAGAGTCTCTGGTATCGTGGAGCCTACACTCAAGGAGGGGGAGACAAACAACCAAGTAAACAAATAAGGTTACATCATGTGAGGCAGTGAAATGTGAAGACAGTCAAAGGAGGGCAGATGTGATGGTGATGGTGGGGGAGGTCAGGGAAGATCTCTCTAATAAGATGCCTGTGATTTTCCTTCTCCAGTGCATGAAAGTGAAAAGTGAAAGTGAAGTTGCTCAGTTGTGTTTGATCCTTCACAACCCCATGGACTGCAGACTACCAGGCTCCTCCGTCCATGGGATAGGCAAGAGTACTGGAGTGGGTTGCCATTGCCTTCTCCATTGAAATTCTCTGCCTTTCCATTATTTTCCTATAAACACTAAATTGCATGACACTTTTGGCTATCAGGTTGCTGTCTATTTTCCATTACTTATGTTGGTTTTGTCATTGCTTCTAAATGATGACTAGCATCTATTGAACACTCTCTAAGTACCAGACACAGAGCATTACATGCTTTATTTTATTAGTCTTTAAGTAATTCTTTCCGACAATAATAATTACTATTTTTAAATGTTATTTATTTATTTATTTTTGGCTGTGCTGTGTCTTTGTTGTTGTGCACAGGGTTTTTCTCCAGTTGCAGCGAGCGGGATCTAGTCTCTAGTTGCAGTGCATGGGCTTCTCATTTCAGTAACTTCTCTTGTTGCGGAGCACAGGCTCCATAGGTGCTCAGGCTTCGGTAGTTGCAGCCCAACAGCTTGGTAATTGAGGCTTGTAGTTTCTAGAGCACAAACTCAATAGTTGTGGTGCTCAAGCTTAGCTGCTCCATGGCATGTGGGATCTTCCCAGACCAGTGATTGAACCTGTGTCTCCTGCATTGGCCGGTGGGTTCTTTACCACTGAGCCACCAGGGAAGTCCTCCAGTAGTTATTATTATATGCCAGATACAGATAAGAAAATGAGGTCTAGAGGTTAGAAAATGACCCAGTAGGAGTCTGTATTCAAATCTTTCTGACTTGAAAGAAAGACCTTGTAAGCACTCTGCGAGGTGCCTCTCCCTCTGTGTGGATTCAGCTGGTGTCCTCAGATGCCTGAAGTTATTATCAGAGCAATACGAAAGCATCTTCCTGTTCAGGGTTGCATTGACTACAGCAGGCAAGCTGGAGGCTTTGCTCTATTGTTATTACTTCATTCACTTGCTTAGAAAAGATCTGTATTAACCTATTTATTCTGAGGGAAAGTTAATTATCAATTAAAATGCTTTTTTTTCCCTGAATTTGTCCAAGGATATATAAATTTACCTGGAGGTTCTAAAATCTGCTGTTTGATCCCCTCCAGCCATCTCTCCCATCAACATTGATTAAGCACTCACTGTTTACACTTATGGATGTCATAGGAGTGAGTCTGCCTTCCAACACTTATGATGGGGTGGAGGATATAAACCATGTCAATAAATGACTCCCAGAACGCCTATGACAGAGGCATAAACAAAAGTCAGGAGGCACTCTGAGGAGGCGGAGATGGGTTTTCCGTGACCCTGGGGATCAAAGAAAGCATCTTGGAGAATGAGCAGATTGGACAGGGCATGATGGGGAGGAAGAGCGTTGGAGTAGGATGGCTGAGCATGTGAAAGCTCAGGACTGCCCAGGAGGGGGCTTTGGACCTTACAGATGGTTTTAAGGACCCAGCAACCTTGGTGCAAGTGAGATAAAACACAGAGGCATTGTGCCAAGAAGCAAATGGCAGGCGGCTGCTTGGGTTACAGGCCCAGTCCCCGTACCCTCTCCTTCCCCTCGGAGTCTCAGAATAGCAGAGCCTATCATTGCTCCAGAGACACTCAGAATACCAGTGTGAGGCACAGATGAGAGATCTGAGGCCGAAAGAGGTAAATACGTTTGCTCAAGGTCACATAGCAAGTTAGCTTGGGAGCTGCGGATAGGACAGAGGCCCCCGTCTGCCAGCCAGAGTCAATAATGTAATTAAGATGTACTGGGCAGGGATTGTGCTGGGTGCTCTGCTCACATTGTCTCATTTATTACTCATGTGCTGCTGTCTATGGTATCATTTTCATGGCTATTTCCCAGATGAAGGGATGGCATTTCCCCACTTAGAAATCACTTTCTAAGGCCTACTTGTGAATTTCAGAGCTCAGGAAACTTAAGCCATTTAAGGATTTGTTTTTCACCCTGTATGAATGAATCCATAAGTCTCTGTTCTTCATAGTTCTCTATGCTACTCTCACGGTGAGGGCTGCCTCACTCACTGTGGGTATTTTCTGTGGAATGTATTTCAACCAAAGAAGTGTTTTTGGAAATGCCACTGGACTGTGTTGTGTATGAAATTGCAAATCCAGCTCTGGTCTCTTTTAGCATCAGTACAGCTGCAGCTTTTCTAAAACCAGGCTTGAGGTCCCCTCTGGTGAAAAATGTTCTAGTACACAGTGATGCTCCGTTTTCTGGCCTCCTGGGAAGATCAGCAGGGTCAAGTTCATCCAGGCAGCTTTTGCCTCTTCAGCTGCCTCGCCGCCTCTATGGTGTCACATGGTAATTCACTCACTCCCAGAGTGAGGCCCCCCTCTGCCCACACCCATCACTGAGTTTCTCTCTAGGCCTTGTCCTTTCATCATAGAGCTCCCAGCAGCTGAAATCCTACAGGAAGATAAGGCTCGTTTGTTAGACGGGGCTCCTCTGACAACCAGTGAGAACCAGCCACTCCTGCAGGGGCTGCCCTCAATGAATTAAAAGTTCAAGTTGATCAGATTAAACTGTTCATTTGCATTGACTGCCTATGTTGGGAATTTTTTTTCTTTATTTCTTATTTATCTATTTATCTTTGATTGTGCTGGATCTTTGTTCAGTGTTGCGGCGAGTGGGGTCTCCTCTTGGTAGTGGTGTGCGGTGGTTCCTCTTGTTGCTGAGCACAGGCTCCGTAGTTGTGCATGGGCTTAGTCGCTCCCCTGCATGTGGGATCTCCCCAGACCAGAGAATCAAACCCGAGTCCCCTGCATTGGCAGGCAGATCTGCACCACCAGGGAAGTCCTATGTTGGAAACTTGAGAGCTCAAAATATTTGGGAGAAAATAGCAGATGATGTAAAATCATAAGTCTCCTAACTTTTACTTAGAGAAGTGCTTCACATGACTGGATTGAAACAGGACAAGTTTATAGGTAAAGGTTGGGCCAATCCTACAATAATATCTCCAGTACCTTGAAGGGGGGCTTCCCCGGGTGGTGCTAGTGGTAAAGAACCTGCCTGCCAATGCAGGAGACATAAGAGATGTGAGTTCGATTCCCTGGAGGAGGGCATGGCAACCCACTACAGTATTCATGCCTGGTGAATCCCATGGACAGAGGAGCCTGGCGGGTTACGGTCCGCAGGATCACATAGACTCGTACATGACTGAAGTGACTTAGCACGTATGTACCTTGAAGGGTGCCTGGGACATAGCAAGTGCCTAATCAATACATGTAGAATAAGTGAATAGATAAGTTCGTGTATAGATGGATGGTTGAGGTGACTTTGTCTTGGGGGGATAGGAGTTTATACAGCCAGTGCGAAAAGATGGCCTTCACAATAAACTTGCATGGCAATCCCTCCTTTCTGTCTCCTCCCAGCCCTCTGAAAATTCTGTGACCTGAAACTAGAGGATTAGGGATGGCCTATTTTACTGCTCAATGACTCTTGGGCCCCAGAACACCCAGCTTGTGACCAGCCCCACTCCATTCTCTCTGCTCTGGAAGGACACAGTAGATAAAGCCTTTTTATGTCTCCTCTGAACAGCTGATGACCCTTGTTCTATAAAGTGGGGACCTTTAGGGTCTAAGATTTTCACTCTGGAGGTCAGTGAACTGGACTGAAATATGCTGCAAGGTATGCAAGAAAGGAGGCACTTTAGGAGTTCACATGCCTTGGGCTCTGCATCGCTCAGCTCTGCTCCATCTCACCTCCATCATTCTGGTCCTCAGCAATCTGTCAGTGGACCTGGGAGGGCTGGCATTGCTGTCAGAGCAGAGGGGAGCATGGAACCTGTGGCTAGTGCTGGCAGGATGCCCACTTCAGTGATCCACTGAATTAATCATTCCACCACCTACAGTTGCTTTTAGTGTTGTTGTTCAGTCACTAAGTCGTGTCATACTCTTTGCAACCTCATGGACTGAAGCACACTAGGCTTCCCTGTCCCTCATCATCTCCCAGAGCTTGTTCAAACTCATGTCCATTAAGTCAGTGATGTCATCCAACCATCTCATCCTCTGTGGTCGCCTTCTCCTCCTGCCCTCTATCTTTCCCAGTATCAGGGTCTTTGCTCTTAGAAGTGGTATTCTTTCCAATATTCTTTCCAGTTAATAATAAGTACTTTATTTTAAGTATGTTTAACATACCAAAAGAAACATTTACACAAATTAGGGGAATTAATATCACACAACAGACATTTATTACATGCTTCCTCTTTGAAAGGCAACAGCCACTTTACAAAAGGATTCCCTGTCATGTGCTTTCAAAGGCAAGTCTCTCCTTACACATTTAAATAGGATTTTCTTTGCAATATTCAGTTATTCCATCTATACTCACTCTCGAGGAATAAATAAATTTCACAGAGTGAGGAGTTTTATCCAGAAAAGAATTAAGAGAGTGAAACGAACCAGCAATGTTTACCAGAGGGATGGGTGGAGGGTCTATTGAGGGAATGACAAGGAGCAGGAAATCTGAAGCCAACTGCTTATTTTTAATCCTGACTCCAGTCCTGTCCAGCGGATGACCTTGGATGAATTACCTAACCTCTCTATGCTTCTGTTTATTTGTCTGCAAAACAAGAACTCTGACGTTCCTCCCTCATAAGGTGGTCATGAGTTTTATGTCAGCACTTAGACCAGTTCCTGGCACAGAGTGGACTCCACATGGGTTTGAACTCTCCTTGTGTCCAGGAATTACTTCACTGCTTTAGTATTAAACTCAACCGTTTTCCTCTTAGACTAATTCTGTTCCAGAAGTCCTGGTTGAATCACCATTTCTAACCTGGGACAGGCAGTCAGCAGCTCATGGGGATACCGGGCTGCCTGTCCAGTGCCTGGTCACTCTTCCACCCCTCCCCCAGCCACTATGACCACCCTGTTTTTACAGAATGCAGTTGGCACCAGGGGCAAAGTGTAGTTGATGATCCCGCTTGTTGGATTCTTCTGACCTTGAGCGGGGAACTTAAATCTTCCTGTAAAAAGTACAATTAAGCCATTGGTTTCCTTATGTCTTTTTCATGACTCACTGACATCCTGGCCTGGCAAGATCACAGATCAGGGGTGGATTATGCACCTTCATTCTGTCTCCCCTCAATTTCAAATCCTAAAGAGAAACCGTGATTAAAGAGAAGTGTGTTTATAGGTGAATTCAGAATTTACGGTCCGCTCCACTTGTGACCCACATTTATGGAGCCCTCACAGGGTACAGAGTACATCTTGGGCTATGGAGAGTGACAAAGGCAGTTGAAGAGACAGGTTCAGGAACCTTTGATCTAGAAACAGGCAGGGAAGATGCCAGATGCATGTGAGTTTCCTGGCAGACTTCCCAAATTCTGTTGCTCAATGTTTTCAAACGGAAAAAAGTTTTTGTATGTCTGATTGCTGAACCTGAAGCATAATTTATGGCTTTCAGTAGATAAATTTATAGTACCAGGAGACCCACTAATCATGTTAAAGGGTTTTCTTCCACCTCACCTGCCCCTTCCTCCTGCCAGGCCACTTTGGAAAAGAGGAAGGCTGTTTATTTCTGGAGTCCACCATCCTTATTGACGCCCATGGAACCCCTGGAAAATGTGTGCATGTGTGTGGGGAAGCTCTTTCTCTCTAGAGAGAAGTACATGATTTTCATCCAGTTTGCAAAGGGGTTTTGACTTAAAACAGTAAAAATTACTGGTACAGAACCAGGGCTAGCACCCCTGGGGCCTGCCGGCCTAATGAAGCTCCCACCCATTTTTGGATGATCCCACAAGTAAGAATGGTTTTCACATTTTTGAATGGTTGGGAACAAAAACGATTAGAAGAATAATACTTCCTGACACGTGAAATTTACATGAACTCCGCATCTCAGCCGCTCCTTGTTGGCGCACACCTACACTCATCCCTTACATATTGTCTCTGGCTGCTTTCTTCTGCCAAGGCAGAGCTGAGCCATTGTGACATAGAGCTTGTAGCCCCCAAACTTGGAAATATTTACTGGCTGGCCCCTTCCTGAAAAAGTTTTCTGACCCCTGGTCTAGAAAGTTAATTTCAAAAATTTTTGTTTTCTATCTTGCGCCTCATTCTTCCATTCCCTTTACAAGTATTTATTCCCTACCCCCAGGAAGATAGATTTGCCTTTCCATTTTCTCATTTAACTCCTCTGCCTTGGGCTCAGCGCAGTAGAGTTTGATGAGATGCCCTCACTCCTGGGTCAGCGGAAGCAGCATTCAGCTTCTCAGACTCTGCGGCCTGGGGGTTTGGATACATGGCACAAGACCTGTGATAGCCGTGTGGAAGGAAAGGTCTTCCAAAAAGCTTCATGGGCAGGGGATATTTAAGAAGACCCCGAGGGGTTTCCCTGGTGGCTCAGTGGTAAAGCAGCTGCCTGCCAGTTCAGGAGACGTGACTTCGATCCCTGCATCAGATGATTCCCTGGAGAAGGAAATGGCAACCCACTCCAGTATTCTTGCCTGGAGAATCCCATGGACAGGGGAGCCTGGTGGGCTACAGTTCATGGGGGTCACAAAAGAGTCGGACACGACTGAACAACAGCGACAGCTAAGGAAGTTCAAGCCTGTCTATCGTTTCAGACTGAAGAGCAGGTTGACAAAGCCGGGAAACCTCATAGGGTGCTCACGGCCCACCAGCCGTGCAGACTGGAAAAGGGTGCAGTTCTTAATAAGCGAGAGAAAGGACTGAAGTAGAGGGGCACCCCCGTGTGAGTGTGGTGCTGCTGGGTGACGGCGCTAGTCTTCTTCCAGTGCCTGCCCCCTGCAGCGGGGACAGCCTGGAGGCCCGGGTACCGCTGGGCACATTAACACAGTGAGTGTTCTGCGCCATAAGGGTGAAGGATTTAAAGTGCTTTATCTGACACCTGGTCCATCCTAAGTGCTTGACAAGTGTTTGTTGTTTGAGTTAGTGTCTGTGAAGGGAGAGGAGACTGGAAGTGATGATTAATTCTGAGGAAGGACAGAGCTATTTAGGTCACGAGGATGGGACAGGATTACCCCATCTGTTCAGTGCCACATTCCACAGAATTTTAGTGAGTGCCCGTTTTGTGCCAGGTAGGCCCTGGAGATACCCCGTGAACCCTCAGAGAGTTTACAGTTAAGCAGAGGAGAGAGCCCAGTAACAAGTTGAGGGGACAGGGACAGCCTGTGAAGTAAAGAAGGACCGTTTTAGGGGGAAGAGATATGGCCGTAGGGTCAGATGGGAAGGGGCTGGAAGAAAAGATTCCTTTGGAATCCTTGTGACAAAAGGAAACAAGGTTTTTATCAGATACTGGACGAGAGTGATTTAAGAACCGTCATACAAAATCACACAAGGGTGTGGGAAGCAAATGGAATAACATAAATTATCCAAAGCAAGTATTTAGGGAGGCTAGCAGAAAGGTAAATTATGAATTCCATGCATCTCACTATCACTCAAAATGTAATTCCAAAAATTCTTAAAGGTATGTGTTGGAGGAGGCTGCACTGCTTGAGATATCTCTGTTTGTATGAATTTATACTAGAATAACAAAAGTTTCCTTAATTTCCTCACATGATTCATATTATGACACTTGAGAAAAGATTAGTATGATACAATGATTTGATTTTCAAAGTTTGCAGAGATAGGAGTCCATTTTTCTCCCCACTTTGAAAATGAAGTTAAGAGAAAAGGGTCAGCTGTAGTTTCTACCTACCAGCAGGAATTTTCTAGAGAAGCACACCAAATCATCAGAAAAGACTCAAATCTTAGCCAGAGTTTCTGGCTTCACTGTAATGCTCCTTCAAGACAGCAGAAAAGAGATAGGAAAAGGTCCCTCTTGATACCCCAGCACCACCAAAGGCCAGTTGAGGACTTGCAAAGTCCTTAGTCATGGTGTGAGTCACATATGCTACCCTGTGAGATGTTAGCTGCTTCTTCCTGTCAGATATATTTTCATTTCCATTCAGATTTAAGTTTCACTTTGTGCTTTAAGAAAGGGTAAAATGCTCTGGTGTTAAATGGTTTCAACAACTATTGAAAATTGTATTCCCATGAAGATTGATTTCATCGAGCAAAATGTCTATTTGTACCAAGGTCTGGAAATAGTTTCTCTCTCTCTCTCTCTCTTTCCTCCCCACCTTCCCTTCTTGCCTCCCTCCCTTCGTTCCATCCTTCTGTCCTTCCTTCCTTCCCTCCTTTCAGGGATCACTATTTGTGTGGCGTGACATGGGTAACAGAAGAAAGGATTTCTTTGCAGTGGCTCCGCAGGATTCAGAACTATTCGATCATGGATATCTGTGACTATGACAGGTCCACGGGAAGATGGATTTCCTCAGTGGTAAGGCTGAATTGGGATATTCTGCTTCCAAAGCTCCATGTGATCTGAGGGCTGTATGAAAACAGGAAGAATGCTATCGGGAAATACAGTTTGAGTTTCTGTTCTTTCTCTGTGTCTGACCCTGAGGCAGTGAAGAAGTCTTGATTGACTTTTAGACACTTTGATAACCTGGTGGTACTTCTATTACACCTTCTCTCACTACTCTGTTTTAGGTATGGGGACTATCAACTGGGATATGGGTGGTGGCTGGGAAACCAGAAAATGGAATTTGATGTCAAAATTCACAAAGTCCGAGAAAACCATGGGCTGCAAGGTCAAGGAAACATGTTTCAATAGAGCAAACAGAGTATGCAGAATAACTTGCTGAATCTATGTTCAAGAAACAAAACAAGTACCAAGAGGCCACAAACCTATTATTAATAACCACCCTATGACTCTGACTACTTTTCAGCAGTAAACTTAGCTTTAGAAAGTAAATAGATGACTTCTAGGCTGACAGGGTTTCAACATTAAGGCAAGTGTTAATCCAACCTTGAAGTGCTGGGGGCCTTTCCAGCCCAGAGACCACAAGGTTCAGCTCTTGGATCAAATTTAAAGCCCCTTAGGTATCAACAGCCTCAGGAGGGGAAAGTCTGGGGGAGGTTTTCTGGACTATACCAAGGACACCTCTGTGAGCCCTTTTCCGGTAATGGGCTTGTGCCTATACACCTCCTCTCTCTGCTTCATTCTAGTTAGGCCCAGGGCAGAGTTGCCTCAGAAATCTTGGACCCTATATCTTGATCCACTCATTCACATGTATATAGCAATCATTGAATATCTATTTTGTTCCAAGTTCTATGCATGGCTCTGGGTGGAAAAAAAATATTAGGTAGCATGCCTGTCCCCAAAATGTTTATTTTCTAGTAGGGAATATTGTTACAAAGACCAATAATAATTACCATTACCGTGAACACTCACAGTAGCCAGACACTGCAGAAACAGGCTCAGTAATGGTAAGGAGCTTGCTTAGGTCACAACGCCAGTCAGAATCTAAACTATAAAACGAAACTCTTTGCTTCCTGTCAATTAAACCATCCCAATATCAGGATAGTGTGCTCTAAAAGTGTATATGCAAGGTACAAAGGAAATCTAGGGCAAAAGATATAATCAACTTGATTAGGGACAGGCAGAGGGGGGTGGGAGGCGACACAGAGGAGACAAGAGCAGCCTGGAGTAAGCTGCCATATGCAGGACACAGGATGGCATGTGGACCCTGTGAGCAGAAGCTGTGCAAAGTCATCTGAGGTGAACAGCTTGGAGCCCACGGGGGCTGGGGATACACAGGACTAGGGGTTGAGGGAGAGCTGCAGTGTTGCTGAGGTTTGAGATATAGGCTAAAGCTCGGGCACCATTCTGAGGGGCTTGGCCTTACCCTGTAAGACACAGGGAGCTTACTTCAAGGTTTTAAATAGGAGAGGATCATAATGAGATAGAACCATCTGTTGCCTGATGAAGTCAGCTGCGGGTTTAGTGGAGTGGAAAGCAGATTGGAAGGAGAACAGAACAGCAGAGTCTACAACCTGGAGATCAGAGCGGTGGACCTGGGAAACCCGACGGACACAAACTAAGGCAGTAGCAGTGGAGAAGGGCAAAAGAAGTCAAAAAACTAGAAGACAGGGGCTAAGGAGGTTCCTGTGAGAAGAGGGGGAGGCTGGAATGATTCCCAGGTCTCCGGTTTGGGTAAATGGTGCCACTAACCTGGAGAAGAACAAAGGAGTAAGAACAAGCTGGTGGGGATGGAGGAAAGATGAGGTAATCTTCAGTTCTGTACTCACTGAATTGAAAATGCTAGATGAGTTTTAGGGATGACATATGAGTTACACTCCCAGGACAGAGCTCTAGGCAAAAGAGGTAAATGTTCTAATGTAGTTATGTGAAAGGTACTAACATAAATATAAATATGTGAATAGAGATAGCTTTCGTTTAAGTACAATAAATCTTATTGCCACCAATTGCAGCTAAAGATAGAATTCATATCTCATTTCTCTATTTTTCCCTCCCTAGGAACGGCAACACATTGAAACAAGTACCACTGGCTGGGTTGGAAGAGTAAGTTGTAAAAATTATGGATTTTTCTCTTCTGTGGATCAGATACTCAGAGCTATTTCATATGCAGATATAACAAACAAGGGCTCTATGTTATTTGTTATTAATAGAGATATTAGTTGACCTTTTCCTCATAATATTTAAATGCTCCCTCTAGAGAGACCTTTTTATAGAGCATATATAACATGTTCAGTTGAAAAAAAGTAAAAGGACAACTGAAAATTCAAGAGAACAGCAGATAAAACAAAAGACATACCCTAGGCAAATTTCTAGCTCCCGGAAAGTTAAAAAACAACAGTTGCTGAGAGGCAGCCAAGATACCAAATGTCCTTATTGACCTCATATTTGAAGTTAGGTACTTTGGAGGCAGAAAACACGGGTTTTTGCCCACAGCCTGCACAAATGCAGGAGACACGACTACCTATTGCTGAATCGAGGTGGCATACACACCTCACCCGCTCTGCCGCTCTCTTTGGACGAATCATATGTGGGTTCATAGTTTATTATACCCTGAGGCAGAACTTTATCCAAGAAAGCAGGGGCCCTCAGTGAGGTCCCCTGCCTCACACAACGCCTTGGTGGGGGCTCACTGGCCACGTTGCTACAAGACCATGGAGTGAAGCGAACTGCTGAAGGCACTCCAGCCACTGTGGCAGTGTGAAAGAGGAAGATTGAATCACACCTAATTTTTACAACCACTTCTGTTCAGCCCCTTTATGAGAGAAACAAAGTGACATTAAAAAACATAAAAATTTCTTCTCTCTTAGAGCACAGAGGTGAGGCCCCCTGGTCCAGGAACACAGCCCTTCCAGCTGGGCTCAGAGCCCCTGTCCCCGAGCATTCACACGTCCTTTTTGTTCAGGCATTGATTGGGCAGAGGGGAGAGGTTTGCCAACATGAAAAGTGGTTTCCTCCATGGCAAGAGACATGCTACACTTCCTCACGACTCTTTGAAAAAAATATGTTTTTTCCTCTCTGTATTTAACCAGACAGATGCCACTTTTCACACATTTCTACTAGGCACAACTCCATCCAGGGGAAACAGGGAAATGTATTAAAAAGATAAGGCTGTGAACACAGGTCTAGAGAGGGGAATGTGTTTCCGAGCTCTGTAATGAGAACACCAAGTGTATTGCACGCCTCGGCTTGCTCCATAAATGAATTCGCTTTGAATCACTAAATAGAAGAGAGAAGCATTTTTCTTCCTTCCCAAAATGGGAGCTGATGAGAGAGGAAACAGCGAGGGTGAAGTGAACCAACAATTTTAAAAGACCATCTTCTACCTGCTCTCAAATGTAGTAAGGAAATCAAAGTCGAAAAGAGACATATTCTTATCAGGCTGGGAGAGACCCTCTTCTGCTTAAACGACATTATGTTCTGAAAACTATCTTTTATCGAACTGTAGAAAATGGAAATTTTGTTCTATATTTCCATACAACTATTTTTTTGGGTAAATTGTTGATCCTATTTAGTAAAATGAGAAGGCTTATAATAAAAATGATAACTATATGAATGTTTCTGTTTGAAATATACGACAGACATTCCTTATGGTATCTAGTCCAGAAATGATTAAAGAGTTTCTAAGTCTGACTTTCAAAAAATGATGTATAAGAAACAGGGTTGGGGGCGGGGTATCCCTCAAATTACAAACCACCCTCCAACCAGAAACAGTCAAAAATAATATTAGTCTGTTTCAACAAAGTACGTTATGACATGGAGGAAATTTACTTAATAGAACTGAAAGACTGATGCTATTTTTTTCACGCTTGTATCAAGACATCATAGCATTATTCTCCACAAACAGAAGATGCCTAACGGTAACAATGACTACTGCTATGTGTTGAATGTCATGTGTAATCCTCCCTACATTCTTTCATTTGCATGCATGCATATTAAGCCACTTCAGTCACGTCCGACTCTGTGACCCTATGGACCATAGCCCGCCAAGCTCCTCTATCCCTAGGGTTCTCCAGGCAAGAATACTGGAGTGGGTTGCCATGCCCTCCTCTAGGGGATCTTCCCAACCCAGGGATCAAACCTGCATCTCTTACATCTCCTGAATTGGTAGGCAGGTTCTTTACCACTGGTGCCACCTGGGAAGCCCATTCTTTCATTTGCTCCCCGCCAGAAAGCCCTTAGGAGTTAGATCTTTTGTCTGCATTTTCTGGGAGAATTTTCTCTTGAGACCCTCTGATTGAATTTGGCAAGTAAATGAATCATGGGTTTTGAGCATAGGTGTTGGAAGGGCTTTCTGAAACTAAAACTGGTACTGAGCTAAGACTAATGTGCTTTAACATGTTTCATGTTTCCTATTATTTTCTAGTTTAGGCCTGCAGAGCCTCATTTTACCTCTGACGGGAATAGCTTCTACAAGATCATTAGCAACGAAGAGGGTTACAAACACATTTGTCACTTCCAAACAGATAAGAGAGTGAGTATTTTTACATGATTTATTTTGGGTTGATCTCCTTTTTTTGGGAAACTAATTTAAAGTGAAAATCATGTGGTAAAGTCGATCACTATGTACAAATAATCAGACTAATTCAGATACCCCAGTGGCATCTGGAGTAAGGTAGGATGGGGTGGGGAGACCCAAGAAAAAAACCTGAGATTACCTGAATTCCTGATATAAATTATTTAATCCTCCCCTTAACTTTGATCAGAGAGAGAGTCTAATAAACCTCTTTTTTTTTTTAAATCCCATCAGAATTGCACATTTATTACAAAAGGAGCCTGGGAGGTCATTGGGATAGAAGCTCTTACCAGTGATTATCTGTAAGTATTCTAATCATCAGTAGGATGTCGATGTATTTGTCAGAATCACGCCCTCCTTTGCCCAGAAATAAGGAAAAAATCTTCTACAAATAAAGAGTAGTCTATTTGGAACGTGTTCAGGACTTTTTTCTTTCTAACATACGGAAGCCTTAATGATTTTCACATATGCTCAGCAGACTTGATACCATGCCACCAACCAGCACTACCTCTTGCTCTTACCTGCTTTACATTAGAGATGCTGCAGCCTCTTTTTCTTAAACGTTTTGGAACACTGAACTATTCTGGGGCATTTTGATAGATTTCAGGTGACACTGTATGTTTAGAAGGCTTGGAGAGGCTACCGTATCTGTCTCAGCCTTAACCTGTGGCAAATGGAAAGCTTTGTGGAGGTTGTCAATGACCGTGCACAAAATGGTGGGACAGGGAGTGTTGTTTTTCATTAGAACCTGAGGCACTTTTATAATTCTGTATCAGTTTCACCACAGAGGAGTTTTGCCATTGCTCGAAGCAGTTTTTGAAGGTCCTGTTTAAAAGTGGCTCTGCCAGTCTCAGAAGGATGGGGCACCTGCCACTGAGTGGTCTGTGTTATGAAACAGAGAATATGGAAAACAGTACAGATAAATGGGGGCTTCCCTGGTCGGTAAAGAATCTGCCTGCGATGCAGGAGACCTGGGTTCAATCCCTGGGTTGGGAAAATCCCCCGGAGAAGGAAATGGCAACCCACTCCAGCATTTTTGCCTGGGAAATCCCATGAACAGAGGAGCCTGGCAGGCTGCAGTCCATGGGGTTGCAAGAGTCGGACACAATGTGGTAACTAAACCACCACCACATAGATAAATCAGGCTTCAACTTCAGACTAGCTGTCCAGTCATATTTTTCTGAAAGAAGACTTTTTTGAGTTTTTACTTGTCATTTTAACTAAGGGAGTAATCCTCATATTCAGATTATTTTAGCCTGTTTAAAAAAAAAAAAAGAATCCTCTATTTATAGAGATGATGCCCCTATTTCTGAGAAATAAAGGGGCAGGGAAAAATGATAAAAGTTGGGCAAGCACTAATACACATGCACTTGTATGAACACTAATGCTGGTTGTTGAGTTAAAGGGAGTATACTTGACTTTTTCTGTAAAACATAATTAATATATTTCATTTGTTTTCTCCCCAGATACTACATTAGTAATGAATATAAAGGAATGCCAGGTGGAAGAAATCTTTATAAGTAAGAATTTTATCAAAGTGTTAATGAGCTTTTAGCTAATGAACAATTTCTGGCTTTTATGTTTTCATTTTTTATTTTATTTTTTTGCCTAATGCTAATATATTAAATTGGAACACCTACCGAATGCTTTTATTCCTCTATAAACCAACCCATATGTCATCAAAAGAGCATGACTTTATTACATGCTTTGTGATATTTGCAAACAATGGGATGTTTGAGGTTATTATGGATTAAATCCTTCATTTGTTGCATATTAACTCATTAATTTCATGAGTATTTCTTGGCATTCTGGTATCTTTGAAACTAGTACATGGCATTCTTTAATTCCTTCTTTCATTTATCCCTTTATCAAGTGCTTAATTTCCACCATTGGTTTTATAGAATCCAACTTCATGACTACACAAAAGTGATGTGCCTCAGTTGTGAGCTGAATCCAGACAGGTGTCAGTATTACTCTGTATCGTTCAGTCAAGATGCAAAGTACTATCAGCTGAGATGTTCTGGTAAGTTTGAATTGAGCAGGGGGTACCCACAAAGTCCCTCTCAAGTCATTCCCTCCATCCCCTCCCCTCTCTGGACAACCTTCTCATCACCCTCCTGGCTCAGCATCTCCATCCCTGAAACCTCCTTTTCAGTGTCCAGTTTAGGAAATATTTTTTCTGCCTTGATCATTTCTCTACTATTGAATCTGAATGCTTGAAATTTCATAAGTCCTTTTCCCTTTCCACTCAACAGGTAAGTGGTGAGTTAGCCATCTTTCTTTCCCCTTCTAACCAAGAGGCTTGCTTTTAGACTGAAAGCACACATACCCAGAGCTTATGTGTGACAGAGGCACTTTTCATCCTTATATATACACCTAGTATGCATTTTTAATGCAAATTTTAATTGTATGCACTTGCCCCTTTAAATGAGAAAAAGGTACATAAGGTGGGTCCTGTGACTCAGCCTGCTCACAGCTTCATCTTCTGTAACTATTGTTATTATTGTTTTCTTTATTAAAAATGAAGAAATCTGGACAAAGAGAGGTAATGTGATTTCACAGGTCATGCAGCTCATAAGAAGCACAAGAGGATTTAGATACAGGCCTCTGCCATTAAACACTAGTTTACTTCTTAAAGTGAGAGGAAGAAATTTGGATATTCTGAAAAGTTGACAAGAACTGTCCATTGCCAAAAAGAGGTCTCCTTACCTGAACCTTTCTGTACTGGCATACTTTAATATCATATTTTTCTTCCTACTTCTTTACCATGGCTGTTTCCAGAAACCATTTTTGGGCACGTGTTTTATGTATATTAGGCACTGTGCTCAAGTTTTGTATTCATAATCTTATTTGATCCTTAAGAAAACTCTGTAATGTAGATATGATTGTCCTAATTTTATACATAAAGAGACTGAAGCATAGGTTTGCTGTCCTAAGTTACAAAGCAGGAAAGTCAAGGATTCAATCCCAGGTCCTTAGAATGCCTCCACTGTGGTTCTGATCAAGTGTAAAAATAGTGTGATCCAAATGTGTCAAAATTAAATAGCTCACTAAGTAGCTTTTTCTATACATTACCTTCCACTCTGCAACTACCACAGTTGGGATAAATAGTGAAGATCTGAGCGTGTGAGAAAAACACTTTCTCATGCCAGGAAGGAATCGCTTATCCAAGTCAGGCACACTGCAGATGTGCCGCCTGGCCCAGTCCTCCATAGTGGGGACAGCAGCGGAGGGAATCTGCCCTTTGAAGGCGGGGAAGTGGAAAGTGGAGCGGCAGTGCAGTGTGGGTCGGGGGATACCTGTCTCCGGAGCTCCACCCCTAGTGGGCGGGGCCTAAGAGAGGGTGTGGCCTCTCTGGACCTCGGAGTTAGAACCAGGAAGGCTGGTGGCTTACCCTGGGTCTCAAAGGCTTAGTTCACAGAAGAAAGAATTGGGCTCAGACATGATAATGTGCGCAAGGCACTAAGCAGGGCCAGATGTGCAATTTCTGTTTCATTCTCCAGAGCCCGGTGCCTCTCCAGTAATATTAATACTTATTAGACTCAAATTGCGCTCATTTTGTGGAAAAAGAAAATCAGCTAACACTTATAAGCCTCTTATCCACGGTGATATTCATTCTATGAAAGCTAAATGGTGTCAAAATTATATCAAAGTTAAATGGTAACAAATGCTATTTTTGAAAAGTATGGTATCTTTTTTTTTTTTAAAGCTCTGAAATATTTTTTTTTCCCTGATTATGTTAACAGGTCCTGGTCTGCCCCTCTATACTCTGCATAACAGCAACAATGATAAAGGTAACATTTTCATATTTTATCCTTGGTTTGCTTTTTAGGAAAGTGTGTGTGAATAGGAGCAACATGTGCTTAGCATAATGGGATTTTCTTCAGCTTTAGAGTGTCTTGACAATGACTTGAACACAAGGTTTAAAATATGAAGTATGTATAGTCTCATCAGTGAATCACCCCCTTGTTCCTTATTGCTTCGCACAATCCAAATTCTTCACATTGTAACAAATGCTTCAAATATTTGTTGAGAACTGAGAGTCCTGGAAAACAATTCAGATTTGGATCAAGTGCTGCAGGATGTCCAGATGCCCTCAAAGAAACTGGACTTCATTCATTTGCATGGAACAAGTAAGTGAAATTTCTCTTGGAATGTAACTGTTCATGGAAACACCAATAAAATTATAACTAAATGTAAATTGATCTGACAGTATGTATTTTATACATAAATCTATTATAATGTTATTTTTCCATGAAATGTTCTATCACAAGAATGACTCGTTTTACATTTTTTTAATCTAAAAATATAATAGTCTACATAAAATGTATTATTTTAAATGGAAAATACTTGGATAAAATGCACTGTTGCTAGCTAGTTCAGTGTCATCCCATTAGTAATTTTATTCTACTATTAAGTATTAATTGTGTTTTTAACACTGAAATACTAATATATTTTACCTTTAACCCAAGCAGATTGAAAATGACTTGTGTAAAACAATTAAGTTTGGCTGTAAAATGTTGAAACTTCAGTCCCAGGATAGAAATCTTGAATTTTTCCTAATCTCTCCATGATGGGCCCTGGCCTAATGGCCTGATCATGTATTATGTTCAGGGACCACTAAGAACAACGGGTTTCTTTGAGTAGGAAATCCTATTATTTTTTTGTAGTTGTTTTTATTTGCTTTTTTTTTTCCCCATTAAGGGCTAATAATTCATAGGGAAGGGGGGACATCCATCAAGAGTGATTTATTTTAGATTGTTTTTTAATAAAGGATAATAATAGAAGACATTCGGCTCCTCCAGTTTTAAGTGGCAGGAGAAGCATAGGAGTGGAGGGTGCTTCTGAAGAAGGGCTTAGAGCAGTGCTCCTGAAACTGCAGGTGCTTGTGGGTCACCTGGGACCTCATTAACGTGCACATTTTGAGCCAGCCTGTGAGCGTGGGCCCAGGATTGAAGCTTGTAATAAGCTCCCACGTGATGCTAGTGCTGCTGGCCCTTGAAACTGGTTTGACTGGCAAGGGCTTAGGGTTTCAAAGAGCTAACTGGACTTCCTGGAATAGAAGGCATTGAATATTATAATATAACATATTAAATATTCAGACGTGACCCCCCAGAGAAAAGACTGTTCATCTTAAAAATTACAGAAAGTAAAACATTTCCAGTTAACTAGTGTTGATTCAAACAAAGGAGAGATCAAATACTGGGTTTGACATATTTTTAAAAAGCAGCGTGATCAACTGATAGTTTGACATTCTGCTCAAATATAAAAGAGACTAAAATTTTAGTTCTCATAAGCACATTTGATCAGAAAGCATAAAATAACCAGCAAAATACAAGTTAAAGAAAAATCTACCTATATAAAGATTGTACTCTTAAACTTTTCTTTTTTTCCTCAGCTAAAATAATTATGATAACCAAAATACAAAAGAAAGGTGAACATAAGGAAGAAACATCTCTAGAGATAAGGATTTTTTTCCTTGTAGGTTAAATCTACTGAAGCTGGAAATAATCTTATTAAAATATGAAACAACTCTCCTCTTTTTCTCTCTCTCTCTGTTTCTCGTTTTTAAAGATTAGTCTAACTAATTAGCCTGAATTTGGTAGCAAAGGTAACCAATTTATTTTTTAGGGACAAATTTTATTAAACTGATGTTAAATCAAGCGGAGAGAATTAAACAGACCTGCACAAGATCGTGCAGAACAGTTTGCCCCATGTAAACCTAGTTTCATTCTGTGAAACACAGAGCTGAAAATGGGAACTCAGCTTACAGCCTGGGATGGCAATAAGAATTACAAAAATGTTATTAAATCAGAATTTTAAAATAGCGTTAAGGCCAACTAAAAATCCTAAACATCTTCAAAGAAATTCAAGAAGAGGAAAACATTTTGGAGGAAAACTTAGAACATAAGCCATAAACAAACTAGATAAGTAGATCAGATGCCAAAGAACAGAACCATAAAAACAAAACATTAGCAATTCTAAGATGCACTTTTATTTTACAAAACACCAATGTATTTAATAGATCCATTAGAAACAACTTTGTTTTAACCTTAAACTAATATTTTAACCTGAAAGAGAATATTTTTTATAGCTGAAAAGCATGCTAAATCAAAATGGTTCATTTTCTTTTTCTATAATAATTTAACAAATTGCTAAACTCTACATGTTACTTGTCACTGACAGAGATAAGAAACCAAAACCGTGTGCTAATGTGTTCTTAATTCACTAATTAATCTTTCTGTTTGTTTAGAATTTTGGTATCAGATGATCTTGCCCCCTCATTTTGATAAATCCAAGAAATATCCTCTGCTAATAGAAGTGTAAGTATTCAAGCTAAAGGAATAATGTAGAAGTTAACCATTGTACATGTTTACCCAGTATAGCTCACTGAAAAATAGAGACAAATGCATCCTTTCTTGCTTCCTGAATTATTATAGAGCAATTTTAATAATTCTTCCATTTTGCAATCACAGATCCAAGCCTGTATTTTCTACCATCTTTCTAATAGAGAAGCTAGACACTCTTTTTCCCTCATAATGGCATATGGGTTTTGTTTTGATTTTTTTTCCCCCTTGAACTACAAGGGAATTTGAAAGAGATTCTCAAGTCCCCATTTTCATCCTTACCTCTTAGACATTTTAATAAGCAATAGATGGGTATTACTAGTCTTCACAGTTTCCTTATCCCTAAATTTACCCAGATATCTCTCATTGGTGGTCTTTAATTCATTCCAGTGTCAGGTTTCTCTTTATGTAGTTCCTGAAATATCATTGCCTGGTATTTTCCATTTCCTTTTTTGGTGAAGAGAAGATATGATATGAGAAAGTATTCATTATATAATTTAAACTTCTCCAAGTCCTTGAGAAAGTTCTGAAATCACAAGTCTTTGAGCAGTAAACGTGAGCTCCCATGAAGTCTAAATATGGTATCTTTGCATTTTTGGTAATTAGTAGGAAAACATTTTACTTCAATCTCCAAAATTGCCCTGACCTCACACATAATGCCACAGTGCCACTCTTCCTATCCCAGCTTGCCTCATTTCCTTTATTCAAAACAAAACAAGCCAACACAAGTGCGATGTGCCTGCTGCATGCCAGGTAATTTGCCTTATTTTGTCCTCATTGCAAGCCTATGTAGTCAGTTCTATTGGGTCCATTATACAGAAAAGAAAACTGAAAACTTGGGGATACTTTCCAGTTGTTACCAGCAAAAAAAAAAAACAAAAAAACAGAAGGAATGCAGATACTAACATGAGACACACCCTTTATACAGCACATTCCCCTGCATTTACAGTTCCATGTAAACCAAACATAAAAGTTCAGAAAAAGAGAAAGAGGTATTTTAAACTTTCAGATACACTGTTGGATTCTCATTACACCTAATTTAGTCAAATTTTGACTACAGTAACATTCACTTGCTTGGGGCCTTAGCCCCAGTACTGAACAAGATCCTTTACAATTAAAAAAAGTAATGTTTTGACATAAGGGTTTGTTTAAAAAGGAAAAAGTGATATTTTTATCTTCTTGAAGTCCTTAGTAAGTAATAACTAGATCTCCCTTTCATTAGGAAAGTTTAAAAAAACATGGTAAATTCAGGCCCAGTTCTTTTCAGTGATTTTCCTCTTCATTTTCTTAGATGTCTGAATCTTTATTTTCTATTTTTAAAAATAATGTTGCTTAATCTTCAAGTTTACTTAACCTGACACATACTTAATACTAAGGGAAGCTATTAACTCTACCAAATTTAATATCATTGAAAGGACCAGGGTATTTCACAAGTTAAAAAAAAATGTTTACTTGCTTAAGAAATTCATGAATGCCTTCTTTTTCTAAAACTTAGAATGATACAATATCTAGTGTAAAATTAAAGTTGTACAATGAAAAAAAATGTGAAAGTGTTAGTCAATCAAAGTGTCCAACTCTTTGCAACCCCATGGGCTGTAGCCCATCAGGCTCCTCTGTCCATGGGATTCTCCAGGCAAGAACACAGGAGTGGGTAGACATTCCCTTCTCCAGGGGATCTTCCCAACCCAGGGATGAACCCAGATTTCCTACATTGCAGGCACATTCTTTCCTATCAGAGTCAAAATTAAAGTCATACAATATTTGGCTTAAAACAAGTTCTTTTGACTGCCATCCCCAGGGAAAGGGAGGAAGATGTTAACAAAGATGCCCAAGCAGGTCTTGTCCAATCCTGTTGGCAGGGAGAGTGAACAGATGAGTAGGAGAGATGGGCTGGGAAGGGAAGAGTTACCGGAGAAGATCTGTGTCCAGGAGTCTTGTAGATCATGCAAAGAAGACCTGTTTACAAGATCTGATGACCTGGAGGGAATGTCTTGATTAACAAATGGAAATGAGAGGGCTTGATGAAGACTGTATACACAGCTAAGTATGGATGAGTTACAGCCTGTGAAGAATGCAGCTATGAGAGAATTAAATTTGTTAATAAGTAGAATGCCAACAATAACCCACTTTCCAATAGTCTATTTCTTTCTCCTTTGAAGTGTGTTTTTTTTTTTTGCTGCACCATATGGCATGCGGGATCTTAGTTCTCTGACCAGGGATGGAACCCATGCCTCCTGCTGGGAGTACAGTCCTAACCACTGGATCGCCGGTGAAGTCCCTTCTTTGAGGTGTCCGTTCATACTTTGGCCCATTCCGCAGTGCCTTGTGGAGCCTGAGTGAACAGCCCTGTGCTGGCTATTGAAGCAAATGAGTTCATGTCCTACGGCAGTCAAAGTCCTTAAGGCAGGTCTAATCAAGGAAACTTGTAGTCTAAGAGTGTTTGTAAGCTCAGTCAGAAAGGTATACTTGAGGCTGCATTTATTGTCATCTTCATTATTTTTTCATTATACAACTCCCGTATTCTAATTATTAAGGCATTTACTTTGATTTCTAAGATACATGCAACTTGGTAAACATTGGCCTGTGAAGTCTGTGTTTGATGGCAATCTTCAAAGATAAAACTGATGGGCATCTCTGGAGGAAACACACAGCCATTATAGATGGCTATAATGTTGCCATGACTCTCAAGTTTGGCAGGACCCATTGAGAACACCCTGGCAGCTGGCACGATTTCAGGCTCATGAACAGCAAAGATGCACACCTCTTGTCCATGGGGAATAGAAACTCAAGCCCTTTTCATTTGGTTCAGGAAAACCACAAAGGCTAACAATTTGGCATTTTTCACAGATATGCAGGCCCCTGTAGTCAAAAAGCAGATGCTATCTTCAGACTCAACTGGGCTACTTACCTTGCAAGCACAGAAAACATTGTAGTAGCTAGCTTTGATGGCAGAGGAAGTGGTTACCAAGGAGATAAGATCATGCATGCAATCAACAGAAGATTGGGAACTTTTGAAGTTGATGATCAAATTGAAGCAACCAGGTGAGTGACTAGGAGGTGAATTCAAAGGCTATTTAATTCCCCGCCCCCCCATTTATATTTTAAAGTTGTGAAGTATAAAGAGTTTCAAGTGTCGTGGGAAGAATCTTTCATCCTTGAGCTAGATTTTTAGTGAAAATATTATGTTCAGACTTAGAAAGGGAATTGATCTGTGTGCTATCATCTTCTAGCAGTAGGGACTCAGAATTCATCAAACACATGGACAAAACAAGGATAAATGCGTCTCTGAGTGAACATCTAACTAAACAAGCAAGCCACCCCTATAGTCGAGGATAAACAGAGGAGATTGGTGTATTTATGTCAGAGTAGGATGACAACCACGAAGTCTTAGAAGTGGTTCCTACATTCTGCTGAGTGAGAACTCCTCCCCCAATTTGGGAAAGTTGTAGAATACGACCATTGTCACTCAGTTATAAGGGATCCTTTAAGGATGAATCACATCAAGTGAGGCTATAAATAGATGTGGTCTGACTTAAGAAAGATTTTAATCTTAATTGGTGGTTACCCTGGCGTGCACACGTAACATGCAGTGTTTTACCTGCCTTATCCCTGAAGCTACACAGCAACCCTGAGAGATGAGTGTTCAGACCTTACACTTCAGGTAAAGAAATGGAGGCTCTTAGGTTAGATAATTTGCCAAGACTGGTCAGGTCTTGAATCTGGGTTTCCCTTCAACTTACTTTCAGTTGCATTCAACTGGTAAATGGGAAATGTAGTCTTTGAGGTTCCATAACCACCTGCAGAGATGTTTGAAAAGCATAATAAATTAACGATTTTAAATAACATTGTGAAATCAGAAACTAGGAAATGGAAAAAATTGTGAATGATTAAATGGATGGAATAAAATGCCTTTAAAAAAAGGAACAACCAACAGGAGAAAAGATAATTTATTAAGTAATCCTAAATTTGTTAAATCAAAGTTAATGATTAGCTATTTTCCTTGAAAGTAAAAAATAAATAAAGAAAAGATTTAGATAAGAGCATAAGTTGTTTTCAAGACTGAGGCTTTGATATTTTACAAATTCATCTTTATTTATCCAGATTCTGTGAGAAAGGGCATGACTTCCAGGGCCTCTCAAGTCTAAAACGATAGAATTGTGTTATCCACAATATACAACTTTGTTTAAAAAGTAATGAGTAAATAAAAATAAATGGAAAAAAAAAGTAATGAGTAGTTGCTTTTCAGCAACTCAAAGGAACTATGTACAACAACACAGATGAATCTCACAGACTGTTGAGTGAAAGAAGCCAGGAACAAAAGTATATATCCTATATCCACAATTGAATTTATATTGGTACAAATTCAGGTGGAATTTTTCTGGGATTCAATAAAAGATTTTTTTTTCAAAGAGAAAAATGACCCAGAGGCTTCTGGGTGATAGTATTGCCCCATTTTTTGCTTCAAGGTATGCTCACTCTGTAAAGGCTAATGAGCTTGTACACTTGTGATTTGGTACATGTTTCTATATGTATGTGTTCTAAGTTTAAAAAGTTTACATGAGAAGATGAGCTGAAAACTTCTTACATTGAATTTTTTCTAATACTGCTTAACTCAGGGCAGTCTAAGACATATACCATCAATTGAAAACAAAGGTTCTTAAGGTCACATATAGGTCAGTTGAGGGTCCCCCACCTCCCTCAATACTACCAAGTTAAGAGCCCCATTTGCTAGATTTTTTTTTTTTTAAGTAAACCAGTTGCCTTTTGATGTAAGTCTAAGACTAAGAAATAGACGCAAAGAATATTTTTCTCCTTTCTTTACCTGGATTCCAACCATACAATTTAGTGACAAAATGACATCTTAATCCTTCAAGGAAGAATTGCTTCATATTTCATAGTGTTGAGTTAACTAATCAACACCCATCATAAGAAAGGATGTGTTTGAGAATGGTGTTTAAGTTCTCAGGTAGGGGGCCCAGGGATATTTCTAAGCCCTGCACAGATGTTCTCCAAGCTCCCATGTTTCTCTCTTGCAGGGGCAGCTTCTCTCAAACTGAAAAACATCTGGAGAGATTTAAATTCAATTATGTAAAAAAAGTGCATCTGGGCTGCAAATTTTTATATACAGCTGTGAAAAAAACAGCCAGGATTTGTTTTCTGTGAATCATACAGACACACACAACAGACACACACACACGCATAATTTTTATGGACTCCGAAACAAGTAAACCTTGTTCATCTGGCTCTTAAGTTAAAAATGATAGACATTGATCTCAGGTGTTTATTTGATTGCTGGCAGCAATTAATCTTAATTTCTAAAAGAATGAAATAGAGAACAAATGGCAGGGTTTCACATTTGTGCAGTTACCTTAGTTTTCTATACACAGTATGATACTAATTCGTGGACTTCTTCCATGCATTTTAGACAGTTTTCAAAAATGGGATTTGTGGACGACAAACGGATTGCAATTTGGGGCTGGGTGAGTACTTTGGCTGATGTATTCCTTAGTGAATATAATCCAAAACAGGATAATTTACTTTTGTCTGTACATATTTGGAGGTGTAAATCGCAACCATCATGTCCATCTAAGAAGGTCCAAATGTCTTAGATTTCTGGGCAATGAGACCCCCCTAGGCTTACACTTTTGTTTATTACAATGGGGAAAGGAGGTGAGCAAGGAAGAAGAGGCAAGAAAGAGGGATAAAGAAAAGGAAAAAGAAGGGGAGAGGGAAGGAGAGACACTTTTTCTCAGGAGTCCAAAAAAGTAAAAACTTAGAGATTATTGCCTTTTTGTTTTGTTTTTTTAACTTTTTTTGTTTTTGTCGTTTTGTTTTTAATTAGTACTACTCAGCAAAATGTCAATACTTTCCCTCTTACACCTACCAAGAAAAGGGACCAGGGCTCTGAACGGGTAGTCTTTAGATACTGCCCAATTAAGGCCAATTTAAGCCTCCTCTATCATGCTTTCTATCTCGAAAGAGGCACAGTATATAAAGATGTGAGAAATGTGGAAACTGCGACTTGCCTACCATATGTCCTTAATTTCTTTACCTCCATAAAAATAACTGTTTCCATTTCTTAGTCATACGGAGGGTACGTAACCTCAATGGTGCTGGGAGCAGGAAGTGGTGTGTTCAAGTGTGGAATAGCCGTGGCGCCTGTTTCCAAGTGGGAATACTATGGTAGGTGATGGCCCTCAGGTACAGAGATGCTGAGTGCGGACCTTCACATCTCAATGCCAAAGCCATTCACTTTTTAGTTTCCCTGTTTCTACAGTGAAGAAGCTGATTCATCTTAGATGCACTTTATGGATACCTGTAATAAAACAGTCTCACTTCTTCTGCTGTTGGGAAAGGCTGGGTGGTATTAAATGCTACCTACATATTTAGTTAGCAACCAATTCTGTTTCCTAAATGTCTTATCAAGAAATTATGTTTTCCACATTTTATAGCATTCCCAGTGCTACAGTTCTTCAGATCCCCTTCCTTACCTTTATTCTACTTTGACTTTGGGGCTTCACATATTACAAGAATAAGAGAAGTATTTCTTTCCCTTCAGGTTAAGGTTAAATATAAAGTAGGACTTTGGGTGGAAAGAAGAGACTTTGGCAGGAGAATTCCTGGAGGCTTTGTTTCCACTAAGTAGGTGAAAGCCACTCTAGAATATTCTTTACACCACTGAGAAAGTATTGTTCTATCATACACATGTAAGGCTATGATTCCCAAGGGGAAGGGGTAAGCAGTGGAACTCTAGGTAGTGGGGAAGAGCCAGAGGTGGTGACAAGATGAATTATCTTCCTGTACCTCTTCTGACCCCATCTCAAGTCCTTTCTGCAGTATAATAATAGAATCATTGATAATGAATATGCTTATTAAATATTTTATACCCTAATGTATGGTAGTATATGGTAATACCAAAACTGTGAAAAACTCTAAAGTCAAGAGAAGCCAATGTGTAAAAGATACATCATTGTCTTTCTATTGAAAAAAATTGGAGAACATGGTTAGGATTGATCCTCACACAATAGATTTTTTTTCATATAATACTTTCCTGCTTGATACTAATTGTTCTGTATGATGGCTTATTTCTGGAGACCTCTGGTGGTCAGTAAGATAATAGAAACAATCTTCATGAATTTGGAAATATATAATGGTAAGAAGAGTTCATTAAATGTATATGGACCAATCTAACAAGAACTTTCTGGAATTCTTACATGTGTGAAAATTTGAACAATATTACTCAAAAATCAAATGGAAGGAGTGCATAAATGGTATTGCAAGACATACATCTAAAGTTTACACTGACATTAGTGAAAGTGAAAGATGCCTAGTCATGTCCAACTCTGCGACCCCATGGACTATACAGTCTATGGAATTCTCTAGGCCAGAATACTGGAGTGGGTAGCCTTTCCCTTCTCCAGGGGATCATCCCAACCCAGGGATCAAACCCAGGTCTCCTGCATTGCAGGCAGGTTCTTTACCAACTGAGCTATCAGGGAAGCCCCACATTAACCCCACATTAAGCATTTTTTAAATAGTATTTTAAAAATTTTAGATCTTCTTACACAAGAAAACCTGGTTACCATAATAAGAAAGGGCTATTATGTTCTAGGACAGGAAGAATTATGCCTGTTTGGGGGAAAAATTATTTTGCCCTTAAAAGCTATTCCTACTCCCCCCCCCCCTTTAGTTTTCCTTCCCAGTTTTTTTTTTTTTAAGTTTAAAGGTTGCCCTTTTTGGGAAGTTTTTTTTTTTTAAGTTTTGTTTTAAATGTTGTATTTCCTATATTAGTGTCCTCTAGATATGTACAATTACATATAGTCTGTATTCACTTTAATCAAAATGATAAAATAATAAAAACTCATTTTGTAGGAAAATATTTTGATTTCCATTGAAAGGGCCTGAGCAATATATATGGAACAGCTAATACTAGTTATCAATGCCAGTCATTCAAAAGGGGTTAGAATGTTGCCTAAGCTTATTGTTTTGATGATCTATTCTTCTAAATAATTAATTAAATTGGTATTGAAATACTGGTACAATTACAGTGATATTCATGTCATTAATCTATATAGCACAATGGAAACATATTATACTTATTTACTTATTGTAACCTGGCCATTTTTCAAAAAGTTATTTCACATTTTTAAAGTTATATTGGAATTCAGCAACAATAGATTTTCTCACTGATATTTTAAAAAATATACATATATGTATACATATAGCTATATGTATTTATATGTCTCTCTCCACAAAATGAGAGAAAACAGATATTTAACTTGCCTTATGATGGAGTAGCTGAGCCAGTATGGGGTTGTACTTCAAATAATGATAACTGAATTTTTTGCTTTCAGTCTGTCCCTCCCCCACCTAAAAAAATATGTTTTAAGTGAGCAACTAGTAATTGAAAATTATGAGGAGTTTCCAGTAGGAAAGAGAATATCCTAAAGTAGGGCATATACATGTGTCAGGACCAAGAAATTCATGACAATTTAGACATTAAATGACTTGCTAATCAAGATCTTGAAGGGAGTCAGATCTTTAATGTAGTATCCTTCCACTGAGCATCTCACATTTGACTTTTCTGCAGGTGAGTTACTGTTTGGGTTTTAGATCACCTGTTTTGATCCCCCTCTGTCCTGCAGGGAAGGGCTAATGGGAATGGGTTAGAGGGCTGAGCATGGAAAGACAGGAGTCTGGATGCTTCAACAAGCCAAGCAGAAATGATCTGAAGGAGATACTTCTGATGGTATAACACTGTAGACCTTTGCGCAAGTTAAGACATAAAGTAACCCAGTAAAAGGGGAAAAGCCTTTATTGCGTGAGTTAAGTTTTTTTCTTTTCTCCATCACAGACTCCGTGTACACAGAACGTTACATGGGTCTTCCAACTCCAGAGGACAACCTTGACTCTTACAGGGTAAGCCATGGTGAACTAGATCCATTTTATAACCTATTTATAAGTGGTATAAGAATATTTTTAAGTGCATCTATTCTAGAAAATATATATTTTTTATTTCCAACAAAATTCTTGTTAAAAAATAACACAGGTGGTTTAGAGTTACTCCAGTAGCTTCCCCTACTATATTCTGCATAATTACAGCCTTTATCGTATGCTATATAGGTCACAATATGCATTCATTTGGAAATACAAAGCAACACCAGATAATTACTTTAATTATAAAAAAATTTCCGTTTAGAAAACATGTCAAATTCAACATATTCCTTTAGAGCCCAGAAGACACTGTAAGTCTTTAACCACATATTAAAATTTCTTATGGTATTATCATAATTAAGATGTATGTACAAGCCTATAATTTTCTTACTCTTAGCCAAATGTGTACATTTTTTTTCCCCACAAGATTTGAGTAAAGCAGATGTCCTATAGGTACAGGAGGGTAATACTCTGAAAAGCTCTTGAACCCAAATTACTGAATAGCATCCATCAGGCTGGTTGCCTGCTTGGAAGAGCCAGTGGGCAGGTTACTGCGCAAATGGGCTATCGCGTCTGAGATGGGGCCTGGGTGCAGCCACCATTGGCAGCCTGCATGCTAGCGTGGGTGCCACTGCAGGGCCAGGGCACTCTCTTTGGTAGCACATTTGCTTCAGCTGGAATAACAGCCTAAGTACTAGGGACCCTTCAGGGCATTGCACCATTCCCCAAAACTTCCAGATTTTGTCATGTAAGTTGGAAACCCCTAAACGTACAGATGGCTGGGTCAGTCATCCGATGTTTACATTCTTCAGAGGATATTCAAAACTCTTCCCAGGACAGTGAATTAAAAAGAAAGAAAAACAATAGCCCGTATAATTTAAAAGCACAATTCCTTCTCATCAGTGCTTGGGCTTTGTATTCATACATTGGTCTAAGCCACATTTGTACATTTTTGTAAGATGTCATCATTATTAGGGGTTCTGAGCCCATTTGATCAAAGCACAATAAAATGCAAATACAATTTCCAGTTTTACTAGACATGTATAGTTTAGTTTTACATCTTCCTTTCAGCTTTATTTAGCAAGGCTTGTGTGGGGTGTGGCTGAGAGGGTTATGAGTATATTTGTGTCTGAGTTTGTGTTTTCATCTCTGTTTACCAGTCACAATAGAAAATTAACAATAGATACTGTATAAAATAGATAGCTAATGAGAACCTACTATGTAGCACAGGGAACTCTACTTAATGCTCTGTTGTGACCTAAATGGGAAGGAAATCCAGAAAAAGAGGATATATGTAAATGCATAGCTGATTCACTTTGCTGTACAGCAGAAAATAGCATAATAAAGTAACTATACTGCAATAATTTAAAAAAAAGAGAGAGAGAAGTAACAGCTTATGAAATGGGATGTATGAATCATCTTCTACTACAAAGCAGTCCCATAATCAGGTTGTCCTATGTCTTCTGATTGCCCCACGTGACCTTTGGACGCAGTTTTTCCCATTCTTTCTCCTCCACATCCAATCAGCTGCTTTAGACATCCTTTCCCTGCTTCATGATCACATTGCTGATGCCACGTGACTACCACCTTTCACAACCATAACCCCACTGCTCATTCCTTAGCTGGTGTCTCTACACTCCAGGCTGTATCGCACACAGAGGTAGGAGCTTAACCTCCACTCACAGCACTTTCATGGACTTTTCCCATGGACTCAACTAAGTCCAGCTCTTATTCTTTAACCAGGTGTTCAATACCTTTCTAACAGCAGCCCTGGAATGTCATTTTTTCCCCTTCCACCTCCATCTATTAGGTGGCGAAGCAAATGGCAACCCAGTCCAGTATTCTTGCCTGAAGAATTTCTTGGACAGAGGAGCCTGGCCGGCTGTAGTCCATGGGATCACAGGGAGCTGGACTTGACTATGCGACTGTCACTCACTCCATCTATTAGGACACTTGTACTGCTCTTCTGGTGGACTAGCATCGTCTCTTTGACTCACATGATGTTTTCCTTGTATATCTTTCAATCCTCAATTTATTGTTCTTAGATTCATAGTTATCTTGTACTCCTTTTACCCCTCTGTGGTATTATTAGTCATTCAAAGCTTTCCTCAATATTGTATTCTTTGGATCACCCAGTATAAAATAGAAACCTTAAAATCTTTTTTGATTTAATTTTAAATGTTCTTGAGTGGAAACATTGTTATAAAAACTATACATCTCCATCATCTCTCTCATTTTACAGCTCTAATTTTCTTGTCAGTGACCCAACCAGGATGCTTACACTTGAAAGCATCCCTCCTGTGGTGCACCATATTTGGGGCATGGCTAAAAGTCTTTCTCAAATAATCCCAAAGTACTAAAAAAAAAAATCCCAGAACATCAGAGGTATACTGCCCAGGACCCTCATCCTGACTGTAGATCCTGGTGGATGATGAGTCAAAGTTCATTTTCAAAATCCCATCTTGAAAGTCTTTGAACCTCGAAGGACAGGGTGAAGTCCAAACCTTGATATCCAAGGAGGTCCATGACACCTACTCTACTGCACTCCAAAAACATCAGCCAACAGGGTGTTTCCTCTTCAGTCAGTCCTCGCCCTAGAGGATAAATAGTTTTAATCTGCCATGTCAGCCTCTATCTTTTTCCAGATTTTCCTACAGGCCTCTCATTCCCATACCCACCCCCCTCTTCTCTAACTCTGCCCCCCACTGGCGTGGCCATCTTCCTCGCTCCTCTGAGGTGTTCTCTGCGTGAGGCAGTCATGTAAATAGAAGTCACTTCCTACTGCCGATGGAACACACGCACGCTGGGAGCACAGAGTCACTGTCTCACTTTTCTGCACAGATGGCTCCCGAGGACTGTTTAATCCTTCCACGCCAGGAGTCGGGTTTTCTTGGCACACAATTCTCTGCTGGCAATGGACACATTAAAACTGCCAGTACCAGGGAGCTAAAGGTTCCCAATGTGTTACTCAGAGGAATTATTTGGGTGGGCGATAGTTAAGGTGGGTAGGAGAAAGTGAGGTGGATGTATTCTCTGTATTGTTTCTGCCCTGTAAGTTGCCTCCTCGGAAAGTGCAGAGCTGAATCTGAGTACCTATATTTGGTGCACAGCAGGCTTTAGAATAAAGCTGCCCTCCTTTGTTTTTTAAATGAGTCTGTGCTTTTGTCTCTGGCAGGAATACATTCAAAGATTCTATTTTCCTCTAAGGCCCCAGCTGCCCCTCTGGACCCCCATCTTCTTTTACTTTTCTTTCCCAGGTTGTTTTTATTTCCTCCTTTTCTCTCTCCTCCTCTCCTTCCCTCCTCCTACCCTCTTGGAAAAAACAAAGGAGACAATTCCTTACAGGTTTTCCCTGTTCTCTGTCTTCCTGTGGGGTCAGGAGAAATATTCTGAAAATGAGTCCCGTATAGGATAGCCTGTTGACTTTCTTCAGTACATCCAGGATAGGAATGACCGAAGTGTGTAACAAGCAAGGTCTTGATCTTTGTACACCTTTTCAACTATAGAATCATTTATCTGTAAGCAGAATTATAGCCTTTGGAAGAGAATATAATTTTTGATGAAACTCAGATGAGGAGAGGATTCATTATTAGGTCATTAATGACCCAGACTTGGAAGAATGTAGAGGACAACCAAGAGAAGGACATTTTGTGAAATAAAGGTCATACTTACTATTTAGGAAAGGAAATTGAAGGAACCATTTGTATATGTAAATGGAACAAGTGGGGATGACATGTATAGTTGTTCAGCTTGTGCACTGCTAGAAGCCAGTCTGAGCTCCATTCACTAAGGCATGCACCTCTGAGGGAGCATCCAACCAGAAGGAGTGCCTTTTTTTATTCTTACAAAGCCACCATATAGATTATGGGACCCTGGGACTAAGGCTTGGACCCAATGCAGTGACATAAGCAGTGACCCATAAGACCCTTTTTGTAGATAATCACCCACCTACTGCCAAGTGACAAGACAGAAACACTTTTAAAGAATACCGGGGACTTAAAGAGGAAGAAGACATTCATGCCCCTTAAACTCCAAGGAGCTGGTCCCAGAAGCTCTAAGCAGGCAGGCAAAGTAGAGGGATGACAGTGAAGCCAATAGGCAGTGAAGCTCTGTGGAAACATTTTTTTTTCTGCTGGAAGTCTCAGAGCCTCACTTAGTCCATAGCCAACAGAAATGGCAATAGATTTGAGCAAAAGAATCAGATAGCCAATAAGACAACCCTCACCCCCAATATGTGCTCAACTCTGCAACTCATGGACTGTAACCCACCAGGCTCCTCTGTCCATTGGATTTCCCAGGCAAGAATACTGGAATGGATTGCCATTTCCTACTCCAGGGGATCTTCCCAACCCAGGGATCAAACCCTCGTCTCTTGTGTCTCCTACATTGGCAGGTGGATTCTTTACCACTGTGCCACCTGGGAAGCCACCACCCCAATGGCAATAAGCAAATAGCGACCATGGTCCCACCTTGAGGAGTGGGTTCCTAGCAGTGATGAATAGTTTCTACATGGCCAATCACAGTTTCTACTTGGCCAAGCAAATCTGTAAAAAATCACTAACGTGGTAGACTTTCATTCACCTATTTGAGGTGCCTGGTGTTTTAGTTGTTCGGAAGTTGGTGACCTTGTTGGTGGGACAAAGTATGCAGACAAAATTTTTGAAGAGAAATAAAAGAAAGTAGTAATAAAGCATGAACTTGAGCATGACAGAGTGCCCAATATGTATGGAAAAGATTAGTGATTTCCAGATCATGACTGTGGAGCCCCAGCATGCCTTCCGATTATGTAGTGGGGAAGGGAAGTGGCTGAGAAGCTGGTATTTCACCTTCCCCCCACTCCTCTCAACCAAGGGGGACTCAGTTTCATTTATTTCATTCGTTTTTTTATTCACTCATTAAGTGCTTCTATGACCAGATGGGCTTCCCTGATTGGTTGGTTCAAATGGTAAAGAATCTGCCTACAATGCAGGAGGCCCAAGTTCAGT